AGTCTTTTCCTTACTTGATAACTTAATATCAGCGATTGCAGGAGGGGACAAACAAATTGGACAGGGTGACGAGAGGGGGGCGGTGGAGGGAAGAGAGATAGAGAGGGAGTGGGAAAGAAAGCGACAAAAAAATGTGTTCCAGCGGAAGAGGACCAAGTTTCGTGAAATGCCAGGCTAGCGGTAAAGCCTGGGCGCAGTCATGCAAAAACTTCATTCTTAATAACGGTGTTCCCTGTGCATCAGTGGCATCCCCAAGCACGGCTTAGCCTGCCTCTAGGGCCTCCTAATAATGGCCCTGCGCTTACTTAAGGCGGCTGCCTTAGCCAGGGCGAGGGGCTCGAGTGCCCTGGACTAGCAACTAGCCTAATGTTAGACCGCTACTTGAAAGGGATGTTCAGCCTCGCCATCAACATCAGCTCTTCGCTTGCCGCGTGAAGTTTGGACATCGCAACGAGCTGGAAGAACCCTGTCCTCCCGACGGTTGTCCCTGACCTCCTCTGTGAGGTCTCGATAATGTGAGTTGCTACAGATTAACTGACTCGGATATCCATATTAGCCTTTGGTAACGAGTGTCATTCTTCCTACCCGTGTCCCCTGGCGATCCCAGCCGAAAAGAGGGTAAACAGACCCTCGACGCCCTCGTAAACACGCCATGAACCACCCACCATTGGGCAAGTCTCAAGAGCATCCCGCTACAACACCCAAGTTATCGATAGTTGTACAGTCACAGAACACATTCGCTCATGTTCCACCAAGAGCAGTCTTGCTTGAGTAAACCCGGTTGTCTCACTCTCTAGCCAGGTATGACTCTGAATCAGCACGGTGGAAATTTAACGCAACGCCGTTGGCTCATTCCTTCTCAAAGGGAAATCTGCCCAATGTCTGCCCATTCCCGGGCTGCATCGATTGTTGTGCCTGCTCCAGATCTCTCAGTCGATCGCGCATGACTTCCTCTGCCATCTCAGTTCCCATGCCCGAAAATCGATTGGCATGAGGGTGTGTTGAGGGGTCATCGACCGGTGGAGCCGGCTGCATTGTCGTGTCGAGGAAATTCTGGTCGTAACTCATCCCGTCCATCATCTTGGGGTCGGTGCTCCCTGCAGCAGCACTGGGGGTAATGCCACTCATAGGCGTGCTCTGCCCGGAGCCAAACATCGGTAGAGTGCCGGTTCGTGGAGTCCACGGAGCATTGACATTGGTGCTCTGTCGAGAAATAGAGGCACGAGTGTTGTAGGGGGTAGAGACGGGGCCGCTGACTGTGCTGCCTGCCCCTTCACCGAATCCGACCAGACTGGCCTTATCCTCGTCACTGAATCCACCGGTGCTCGAAACCCCGTCATCCGGGTCTTCGCTCATCTTATCCGCATCGTAATCGACACTACCACTCGCCCAAGTGGTTCGACCACCTACGCTCCCCGTTGCGCTGGCACTCCCAACAGTACTTCGTTCTTTGAATTGAGGTGCATAATCAAAGCCTTGACCATGGAAGGCGCCAGAGCCAGGTGCAAGGTGTCCTAACGGAGTAGGTCGAGATGTCGCAACTCTCTCCAGGCCGGCGAGGCGAGAGATGCGATCGGCCCGTTCGGCTTCAAGAGTATTTGCCGATGCGGCCGCTCCTCTGCCACCATGGCCGATTGATCCGTCTTTTATGGCGACAACAGATAATGCCGAGAGAGACGTGGTTGTGGAGTTGGGGGTGCCCGGTCCCATCTCGCTGGGCGTGGCAGGGTCTGAAGGTGGCGGAGGGACTATACGCCCGCACTATTAGTTTCGCCACAAGGCTGTTTGGCCACAGGGGGCTCAAGTACATACGGTTGATCAGAGTAGGACCTCTGTTAGGCATGATTGCGACAGATCCGTCTTTGCACTGTGGATCGATACAGGAGCCGGACCTGACTGCCTCGTAGTTTTTAACGCGTATACAGCAAGCAAATGGAGCGGCTGCCGTTGGTATGAGAGTACTAGATATTATCAGAGTATCATTCTAGGACCGCGATGTGGTCGAGTAGGGTGTGGAATGAAACGCCAGGTGTGCTTGCAGCAGAGGGTGGGGGGGGCGGCCTTTGTTCTGAATACCTAGGTGCTATTGCGGGGGACAGGACGGCGGAGGAAGTCACCAAGAGGGCTTTCTTGGTCAAGGTATTGTTGGCGACAGTGATAGACACAGGAGAATCGATCCTGCTGTATCTAAAGTGAAGATGAAAAGGGAGGGCCAGAGTCAAAGTTTAGGGCAGGATAGGAATTCGCAGGTTGCGCGATGCACAGACAAACTAGGCGTGGGCTTCGGGTTCCCCAGAAATGCATGCATGCACGTCGCAGAACTGGCAAGTTCCGGTTGGCTACGTCATTTAGGTCGAGTCTCACGTGACTAGATTGCCCATAGCCATGCACGTGCCACCGTATCGACTATTGAGTACCTATGTAAGGGGTACCAGCGAGAGGCGACCTTCCTCAGAGCTATGGGAGCATTCAATGCTTATTGTGGCTATGACCATATCATACAAAGTGCGGGTTTTGGTCAATCGATATCATCTCTTCGTCACTGACCCGCCCCAGCTCTAGCAGCATCTACCTCGCGTTGCAGGGCAGCAAGGTCCGCCAAAATGTCTCTGGGGTCACTCTTGGGAGAACTTAAATCACTTCCTCCGCCATCTGCCACGTCCAGGTGCGCCATTGATGGCCTCGTAGTCTCCATACTACTTCGACTAGAGCCTCTTCCTCGCCGGGGAGGTGGTAGTGGAGGTGGTAGTCCCTGGCTCAGTCGCCTCGAGTAGGATGGGCTGGAATTGAGGCTCGGCCTTGTTTCCCCATCCACTAGGTTCGCGTCCTCTGCAATCGAGGCCACATCGAGTGATGGGCGACGGTCGCTCGTCCCGTTGTTCCGTCGCGCTGGAGGTGGCGGCGGAGGTTTCGTTCCAGAGCTGGAAATGGATGGGCTCGGAGGCCCGTCCGTCTCGCTGAAGACCGAATAGCGAGATGAGCTGCTTCTTGCCAATACTGGTTTCTTTGGTGCTTGCTGGCTCTTCCGTCGAGTTAACGGAGGCGCTGGCGGCACCTTCTTTTGAGTATCAGACTGTCCGGCACTGGCAAGTCGATCGCTACTAGGGGTTTCGTCAATTGAAGGCGACTTCAGACTCGGTGCTTCTGAGCTGACATTGCGGGTGCCGGGCAACGTCAGCGAATTGATAAAGCTGTCAAACTTGGCCGTTGGTCCTTGCTCCGTCTCCCGGTCCTTGAGGAATTTCCCACGCCTGCTCTTTGGCGGCGGGGGTTTCTCTCCCTTCTCCGAGATAGTTCCAAGCTGCGCTCGATATATGTTCGCCTCATTACCCTCTAGATCATCCGACGTTCGAGGACTTTCATCGTGCGCAATTTGTACAGTCTCGAATATCGAGCGTTGTGAGATAGACGCTGTGTCCGCACTGGAACCACTGTCACTTACAGGATTGGGACCTGATTGAACACTCTGCACCGCTGTATCGCGGGATGAAGAAGGGCCACGATCTCCTTTTAGTAACATCCTCTTGAATGCGTCCACGTCCATCGTCGGTTTCGAGGAGCTGCCAGGGTCTTTCCCAGCGACGGTCGATTGACCACTGACCGGTCGCCGTGGGATGCTTGCAAAACGACCCAGCGTCTCTTTTACAGCATCCTCTTCGGAGACCTTCGTCGGAGCTGATACAGGTGCAACTATCTCATTGTTCACTCTTGCGTTCTCCAATGCCTGCTCAATGGCATTATCATCCTCGTCGGAAGCTTCGGCCGCAAAAGGATCGCTCGCAAGCGCTTGGCTGTAGTCTGTCGGCGCGGGCAGAGGGGATTTCGGGCTCGAGAAGGTAGATGGGAACTCTTGTCGCGTAGATTCAGGCGAAGGTGGGTAGGAGACCGGCGAGATGGGAATGGCCGGAGGAGAAGCGAAGTTTACATGTTTCTGCGGGGGAATGTGGACTGCTTCAGCGATTCAGCAAGCCGCCAGCATGTTTGCGAGAATGAACTCAACACACACATACCTCTGGTATCAAGAGAAAGAGCGCCAGGACTGGTGCCGCGAGGATCCGATGTGAGACTAGGAGTAGGAGTGTTGCTTCCGCCAGAACCTTTCAATGAACTACTCTTACGGAAGGGATTTGTGGACATGAGGTCTCAACAACCATGTAACCCGCATGAGCGCTCATTGATGTGTGTTGGCCAGGGAGATTCTGGGGGAAATCAATGAAATAGCGTCCTGCCAACGAGAATGAACTTTGGTCTTGCGAGGCCGACTGGCATCGGACTGGGCCTTGGATAAGCAGAGGATGCGGAACCATGTGGCAGAACCGCCCGCAATTCGGGATTTCGTGGTTCCTGGTGCATATTATCGCGACCACCCCCAGTCAAACTGTGAGCAAGCACCAGGCCACTTTTCCATCCAATGCACATCCATGCATATCTCGCAGCCGGCTAGATCCCACAAAAATAATACCTCCCTCATCTTATTAGAGTAGCCTCTCAGGGTCTGATGAGCTTGTCAATGTTTAGATGTGGACCATACCAGCTAAGAGTTCCTTCGCCAGTCCAAACTTACAATTATGATTAACACCAGCCGACTAATGGCCGATCATATCTCTATTTATCAAGTACTTGGTCTTCCAGCTTAGCTCATGCTTTCCATAGCTTGATAAAAAGCTCATATCCAGCTGTCCAGTCTCTGGAAGACCTCTGTCGTGTATGTATCAGTGTCTCATTTTTCGTGGGGGAGAAACAAGGTCCCCTAGTCGTCATGGAAAATAAACAGTGGTCCCGTGATGTACAACTTCTCTTTCCAAGGAATGTCCTCTGTTCGACATCTGCGATGGCACTTCTGATGGAAGGCGGACACAGATGGTCGACAAGTTCGATAGAGCAGTGCCAGACTGACGCGAACAGGTTCTCCAAACTCCAAACTCCAAGGCTGATGCAAATAATCAAGGTTTGCGGTGAAAGTGCGGATTGCGTAAAGACTGTGGTTGGCGGTGGGTGAATCAGGTTCGAGCCTTGGTTTGCTTCCATCCATCTTCAGTCCATTGCCAGGTTTTCGCACCCTTGACAGGATGAAGTAGCATGGGGCGAACGACTGTACGGCCGTACACATCCTCCCATTCTTGACCACCGCTTTCGAGCGCTGTGATACCGAGGAGGCGTTGGAAAATCGGCATGGCTTGAGCAGAGCTGTAGTACCACGTCATGTTGGTCCACGCATGTTCGTTCCACTTGCTGAAGGTGCTATTCCAATAGCCTCCAGCTTGGCCAAAGGGTCCCCCATTGAATGTTGATTGTAACGCCTCGGGAGTCCAAAATCGATCGGCGAAAATAGGGTGCGGGAATGTGGTGGATTTCAGCCCGTGGTGGAGACACATGGTCTGAGGGAACATCTCTGCGTCAATGTGATGCCCATTCTCTGCATTTTCATAATTCATGATTTCCAGAACGCGTCGACTGACTCTGCCTTGCGCAATGAGAGTGGCCCTCCTCGGTGTCGACGTGCCCTGAGCATAACCCCAGAGGTAGTTGCGGAACCACCAGCCAGTGCCAGTCACGTTAAAGCTTGGGAGAAAGCCAATCCAGTCAGCATCTTCACCGACACCCCATTCAAAATTATCTTCTTCCTCTTTTGGCGGCTTAGGACCACGAGGTTTGACCCCTTCGACGGACACCGGCCCCCACACATGGTGAGGATCTTCCTCTGTGGTTACATTGCGGAAATCGGTGTCAAAATCGCCATGGACGGAGGGGATATAGACTCTCCCTGCTCGTTCCCAGATGCCTTTTCGGGGTTGGTTGCGCCCAAAATTTTCCACTGCTTCGAAGAAGTCCAAGTAGTGGCCGGTATAGCGCACGTCGAACTCCCATTGATAAAAGAAATCGAACTCTGGGTGGTTGCGAGCAAACCATTGGATGATCATCCAGGGCGATCGGCCAACAAAAGCATGTTCGGCGAGGTTTGAATACAAGCTGCGAATCTGAGCGTGGTTCCAGACCTCTGTCATGCTTCGAAATTCGGGTGGGATGTGCTTCTCGATCGTTGCTCTCGGCTCGTCCTCGCCAACAAAGAGTGGGATATGTTCGTCCTTGACATGAAGAAGAAGAAATACCTGATACTTCCCTCCGCTGGCCAAAGAAGCCTCTGCAATCATTGCGCGAATATTCATCACGGCGTCGGCAGTCCATTTTGCACCGGTCCAAACACGAATGAGAATCGCGGTGCGCTTAGCCTTATTGACCATGCCGGGTTCTAGCGTCGAGGAGAGCGTTCTGGACGAAGATTTGTCATGTTTGTGTCGAAGATTGGAATATTGAATCGAATTAGCAGGTCGCTCTTTAAGTGGCCGAAAACGGTGTTTGTTGACGACAGCACAGTCATCCTGTAATTCACCCCAGTCAACCACGTCCCAGTCGACGTCGCTCATCTTTTTCATTTCTTGGACATCAGCAGCATCCCACTGATCGAGGCCATACGCCTGAAAACGACCAACGCGATCAAAAGATACACTTCCGTCCAAGCCAGACGCCTCATACGATCCAAGGCTAGGCTCGACAGCACCTAGATATTCTAGTCAGACATGTCCAGGCATCGAGAATCGCATATTCTCACCGTTTGCTTGACCAGGATACGCCCAAACGGCGTCTTCATAGCTCTCATTCAATGGTACACCACGCGGACCAACGCAGGATACGATGTGTTCCAGGGGTTCCTGAAAAGCTCGATAGCCATCATAGCGAACGAGGAGAGGACTCGTCTTTTTGCAGTCGATTTCACCGGTCTCACAAGCGCGCAGATGTGACGTTCCACGCGTCAAACCGTCATGCCTAGTCAAATTAACACGGTTAGGGTACTGACAAAGACATTGATTGGCTGCCAAGGGCATGTGGTGACATACGTTGGAAAGTCTTTCCATATCCATTGCTCTTTCTTTGAGTTCTCCAGTGTCATTTCCATCAACTCATCCTCGGTGGGCGGTGGGGATGGAGGCTCCGTGATCTCTGGGGTCTCTATGATTTCAGGGATATCTGGTCCTTCAGGAACTTCTGGTATTTCTGGTGCGGGTTCAGGCGGTGGAGCGGGAGGTGTTGCATTCATTATCTTGAAGAGCAAAATGAATCCGACAAACGTGGCGACTACTTTTAGCACCAGGCGTAACCGGGGCATGCAGATCTGCCATCTTGAAGGCTTCTTCCAAAAGTCGCGGCTGGCGGGTGACCAACTGGGCGGAGGTGTTTCGGGCTCAACAGGGGAATCTTCAAGCAGGCCCATCTCGGAGCGGCTGCCAGTGATGGTGAGTCTTCGGGTCATACGCTTCCCCGATGCAATTCGAGAAAGGGAGCGAGGATGTTGGTGTGATGTGGTATGGTAACAGGCCTAAATGAGTGACTGAAGGTGAGGAGGCGCGTAGTTGCTGGAGCGAACGTCGACGTTGATCGTGATAGAAGACGGTGCGGAGGAGATTGGGATGTTCGTAGGTGGACCGAGCGAAAGATTTGGGGGCGTCATGCAGATTGAGCAGTTGCTATCAAGGTTGAAAGGAGGAGGGAAGCGACCAGCGTGTAAGGAGGTTTTGGCTGAGTCGACAGCGAGTGCAATAATGTACAGACAGGACTGCGTGTGGACAGCAGGCACAGCCAACTCGACAAAGCGAATGAGTCGAATCACACACGTATGGAGAACAGTGTAACGGACACAGCGCAGACAAGGAGGAAACGACAGACCCCCAAAGGTGAGAATTCAGAGGCAAGATAGACAAGAGACAATACGGAGAATCCGTATGCCACTCTGGGGCAAAGTGGATATGGAAATTGAAGATGCATTGAGGCAATGTAGACTAAAAAAACTACCTCTCTGACCCTGGTAGAGCCCGCTGGCTCCATCTGTCTTAGCATGCAACCTTCAAGCACCATCCAAGCCCTCAAATCAGCCATGGCGGCTGGATCACCCTACAACAGTGTCCAGGGCACAGAGACGATTGGCCTTTAACCCGAGACGCGGGTGGTGGGACGTTTGCACGCAATCAAGGCTACGGGCCACGAATTGGGCGGGTCTGGCTTCCCACTGTCCAGCTCTTCATCCCTTTGTGTACTCGTATCTAGACGAGATACTCAGTATCTGGCACCAGTATTGATGCACCCTATCTCTTTGACCTGTCTCAGTTAAATCGCGTCCGATGGGATTTGAGGAGGAAGTTAAGGGGTTTCGACGCAGGATCGCAATCGATGGACGGCCAGACCCGGGGGGTCCTAGAATCAAGCTTAGCTCCAGGATCAGGTTAAGCTTTTTGAAATGGATGTCCGAGCTGCAGCCTCAGATCCCATGTGTAACCAGCAACTGAATGGCGCCGGACAGACGACGTGCATTCAACGGGCGGGCTGATATGTGAGCGTAGAGAAAGACAGATATCAATGGCGCCATCTAGTGCTTTGATGATGATTTGATGATGCGATGATTCCGTGGACGAGCCAGTCAAGAGCTTGTGAGTGTATGCAGCCAGGATACAACATCCGTTGTAGGGTTGTAGATCTGGTAGGTAAGTAGGTAGGTACCTAGTACATTCTTCAGAGGACGCGCAAGCTCTTTTTCCTCTCTCCCATCTGTACAGAGTAAATCCTTTCACTTCACTCAAACTCGACTCGACTTAACCACAGTACAACTTTTCTTGTTGAGGTATTGACGTCACTGATTGGATTCTCTTCCCCACCAACCAAAATGTCCAACCCCTAATGCGGGTCTCGAAGGGTTGATTCACATTCAGAGAACGAAGAGACAACAGTGTCCTCTCTTTTTTGTCTCTTGGTCTCCTCCTATAAGCTACTCCGTAATCGGGACTTTGTACGAGTAAGCTTGATACAATAACTGTCCTGTGGATTGCCTGCGCCGAATACCCCGTACTCTACGAGGTGCAGCCCACACTACCCTCATTGCGTGCCTAGGTACCGACGATTACATTCCCCAATGGGAGAGATGGGACCCAAGGTCCCGCCGTGCCCGCTTTGCCTCTTCCTCAAACATAGCCATCCAACAAAATCCCCATCTGCTTTGTATTAGCAGTCCCAGAATTCCCCATCTTACGTGTTTGATCTACAATCACAGAGTGTTCCCACCCGTTTCAGAATTCCTTCAGGAATCTTGAAAACTTCTTTTCTGGACACGCCAGTTTTCCTTCCAACATTATTGCGGAACATAACTGCACGACTTACGTCCGCCCCAAGTCATCGCCACGACCATTATTACCATTCTCATTAGCAAAAAAGCGGCGTCGGGCCTTGCATACACACAGACATAATCCCACTATCCACATCGCCGAAACCTGCATGTGTGAGCAAGAAATTGTCGGTGGAAAACAAAACTCAGCTCCGATAAGGCAAGTGATCCCACCAATCATTCTTTTCCATTGTCAACATGTCAGTCAGTGCATGTCAACTCTCATCTTGCAGCCCGCGGAGTCCGCCATCTACGAGTAGTAAAGCTGTCGACCTCATTCTACCATTCGTACTCCGGCCCGACCAACTTACAGAGTTCGTCCTGCTCAGCCGCCTCGCTCTGCGCCTTGGGAACTGAAAAATCGATATTTTTACCTTCTGCTTTCTCCGCCTCCGCGTGTCCCACTAGCACAGTCCGTACCTTGTCAAGATACCATTTGACCGCATGTTCTGTTGTCAAAAGGAGGGGCTTCATCAGCTGCTGGATACATTTTCCGGCACGGATCGTCAAAACTTGGTATACATACCTTCAATCGAGTGCAGTCTGCCTAACCCCAGAACCCCGGATTGGAACCCTTTCTGGGCGTTAATGGCCAATTCAACGTCCTCAGTCTCGACGAATCGCCAATATCCAATGTCATGTTCCATCCAATGGTCGTACTCCGCACTAGGTTTCTGCATACTCGACCTCCGATAGGTTTCACTTTGATACGATGTCTCAAGTGCTCCCGTTGCGTTAAAGCGAGCAATGAACAAGAGGTTGTCACTAAATATGATCGCACCGATCGGGAACAACCAGGCTAGAAGGATAAGTTAGGCATGGCCTCAGTGTCACTGGTCCTTCCCTCCGGGGATCATAGGACCGACTTACTGATATATGCTTCTGATAAACCTTCTTTCTTGGGAGGCAGGAAATGCCGAGATGCTCCTATTCCTTGCCGCAGGTAATACTGGTCTAGTGCAAAGTCCTTGGGCAGAGTTGTTGGATGGCCTGTCTGGCAGTGGTAGCATTCCTGACACCATGTTACCGAAGTCCACTGGAGGGCAGCACGGAGCAAGAGAGACCAACCTGGAATCCATCCGCGAAAGTTTTCCAGTTGAACTCGGTTCCCGCCACAGAACTCTTCCAGGTATGATCATACTCCCATCCGTCGTTGGGAAAGAGCGCAAACTCGTCACCAATCTCCTTTCCTGTCTTTGTCGCGGGCGCTGGATCGAAGTCGTCACCAAATTGCTCCTCGAAACTCACCGCAGGAGTCTCCCTTGCATCGAAGTTCACAAAAATGAATCCCTGGGCGGTCACGTGGGTGTGGATCTTGAAAAGCGAATTTTGCTTGGGATCAAAATCTGGAAGATTGCTGTACTCTCGAGCTTTGTGTAAGTCTCCGGTGGGGAGATACGACCAGCCGTGAAATCGACATGCCAGGACCGTGCTGGATCCGCTGGACTTCTGGGTGACCGGGTGGCCTCGATGCCGGCAGATGTTGTGGAATGCGTTGATATTCCCGTCTTTGTCCCGGATAAGGAAGAAGTTCCATCCAAACATCTCCAAACTTTCTTCAGCTTGGAGAACAATCGACTGATGGGGTATCTCAAAGCCATACCTCGAGTGTCAGGTAATCCCCTGCTTTCTGAAAGCGCGCCTTGAAACTCGCCACGTGCCACAGCTACATTAAGGTCAAGTTAGATCTGTTATTGATCCGGGTTGGCGACCACAATGCAAGTGGTGTCTCGACGCGAGTCCAGTACTAAAAGTCACGCAAGCCTTACCGTGGAAAACAACGCGCGCCGCTCGAGCTGGAAGATCTTCTCGTCGCGATACCATCTGGTGTGTTGTCGGTCAGCGGTCTGATCATAGCATGTGGCTGTGCTCATATCGTCCCAGGTAAACGGACTCAACACGCGCAGGGAGGTGCTGTGGCTCCAGCTCCAGCTGCATACCTAGAAGGTGCCAAACTCAACGTCTTCCTCCCTAAGTCGACCGGCCGGAGGTTCTTCTCTCGCCCCTTTTGGAGGTACCCGCCATTGGCAAGGAAGTTGGTGCTGTCAACGGTTGTCATGGTCTGGTAGGTGCGTATACGCTCTGTCCTAAATGTCACCCTTGCTTGGACGCCTTTCTTGTTATCCTTTAGACACGAGATGGTCTCAAACCGGGGGGAATCCGGTGCGATGGATGTCCGCAAAGAACAAGTACTAGTGGCACAGGGCGCGTGCTTTCCAGTGTCTCGCTTCTGCGGGATGCCAGAACCAGACACAACAAATGAACGAGGGACCAACCTATCTATCTAAATCGGGTTGGGAGTGAAGGTGTTTATTATATCTCCACGCTTCTGGGGTTTCTTGTCATTCACTGATAAGACCCAGGGTCGATTTCCCATTTATCATTCTTCGTAGAATTTACGCCAATGCGAATCTATCTATCACTTTGTCCCTCCCCGTCCATCGACTGCCCCTCTCATTACCCACGGAGAAGGCCGTCCGAGAAACAGAGCGAGGGTTGTTTTGCTGGATCCGGACAAGGTCGAACGAAGATCGAGTGCGGCGCTGTCCTCCACCTTTCTCCCCTCCCAACGCGACGGGCTACTCTGGTCTAGCACAGAAACCAATTAGACGCGAGGGAATTGAAATGAAAATGATAGGGTGTGATACCGAATCACTGGGCAAATTGTGGTAGTCCCTGGTTCTCTCACTCACTCTGCTGGTACATACATGGTAAATACATGCACACATACTACATACGTATCATAGGTACCTGGCAAGCCTGGGTTTATCCATCTCGGATATGTCCCCCTCTCCTTTCCGCCTTCTCTCATGTCCTCGCCTTCGTTTGCCGACTACTACTCCCTCTACTTGTAACTTGCAGAGAGTTGGGCACAGAAATAGTTAAATTAATACCATCTCAAATCGCCCCGATGCCCAAATGTGTTGCTGAACAAACTTTCTCCGAGTTCCCCTCCCATGGCTGGATTGACGATGTCATGCTCAGCTTAGAATCGACCAGACTGATCGCGCCGGCCGCCTCCGTGGCCCGGGCCCGTGTCTGGAACTCGAGATGGACCTGGTACTGGGTTTCTGTTTTGTCGCCCGGTCATTTTCGCCGCTGGGTGATATCGGCGAGACGGGCGAGAGCGACGACGTCGTCGGTCGGCCTGCCGCGGTGGCGGCGTTGGTCGTCGAGGTGATCAGACTGTGCAGGAAGAGGCTGTCGCCGCTGCTGCGGATGCTCGTGGCGCGGGTAGAAGGGGAGGACGACGACGATCGGGATGTCGCTGCCATTGAAGCAGCCAGGAGCGAGCTGGAGGCCGAGGTCGAGGACGAGGAAGAGGATACCTGTCGTCGATGGCCGCTGTGACGACTGTCTTTGTTCGTCGTGTTGGTGGGGACTAACCCACCCAGTACTCTCGGCTGCTGCATCGTGCTCGTGGATGAACTCTCCCCCATCCCCGTCCGGGTACTGGACTGTTGGTCGAGGTAGATAGCCGGCACTTTGGGCACTGGCGGTGTCGGTGGTCGAGTGTTCACGTAGTGCTCTGGTGCGTCCCAACCCTCTGAATGTGCTTGTAATCGCCGTCTCCCAGCCTGTAGAGGGGTAGGAATTGAAGCCGGAACTTCAGCATGGTCACTAGGTGGTGCCGAAGTTGCTCTTTGGTGCAGCGCACCGGACATTGCCATCGGGACAAGGTCGCTGGTCGCCGCAAATCTCGTGGGTGCAGCATGTGTACGAGGTTGGCGGTAGAGTCCATGACTCCGAGATGGCGGAGAGCGCGGCGCGGTGGCACTGTGAGCGCTTTCCGGGGCGTTGTCACCAGTCATCCACGCAAAGGCGGTGTTGGCTGTGAGGTGTGGTTTCTCGTCGTTCGGCTCTGGAGTGGTAGCTGATACATCTAGACTGTTCAACAATTGCTGGGACGTCGCTGCAAGCTCGAACAGAGAGCGTGCTGGTGATGCACTGCTTGCCGGCGACGGTGACAGCACCTCTTTCCACGGCTCCTGTCTGCTCTCCTGAGGAGGTGCACTGTCAAGGCGAGGCGACGAGTCGATCCCACATGCTTTGCGGTGCACGTTTATCAGATGAGGCCCAACCGTTGCGGCCGTTTCCTCGGTCAAGCCAACCGGCTCCTGATCAGCATTCAGGGCTTCGAGCATCAACCGCCGATTTTCGTCTACCATGTTTTGACGTCTCTCTGCGAGGAAGCCAAACCATGCGCGATCTGCTGCGACACTTACCAGCAAAAGCTCGAAATCCACTCGGGACTTGTGCTCAAGTCTGGCCAGCTTGCTCTCGTTAGACAGTGTCAGGCCTTGGAGTTCCATTGTAGCATTCATTTGCAGGGCGTCTAGTTCGGATTGATGGTTCGAGAGCATTTCTTGTTGTTTCTCTTCGCGCTGCCTCTGGAATCGTTCCTGAAGACGCCGTTCTCGTGCTTCCTTGTCCTGCTTTCCACGGAGGTGCAGCTTAATTTCCAAGAACATGTCGTCTTCCAGCTCTTGCTGCTCAGTGTCAAAGGTTCTCACCTCCATATCATGTCTTTCCTTGACGCCGGTGGTCCTCTTCGCAATATTGGATTCCATCTTTGCTAATATCTCGTTATTCTCTTCCTGTTGTCGCGCCCGTGCCTCATCACGGAGAAGTATATATTGTTGTTCGGCGTTCAAGTGTCTGTTGTCCAGGGTCTTCTTCTGTGTTTGCAGAGTACCGTTCCATGCAGACTGGATTTTATCACATGTTTCCTCGACCGAGAGTTTGAGAATCCGTCGCAGCTCTTGGGCCATTCGTTTTTCTTCAGCTCGCCTATCTGCTTCCTCTTGCAGGCGCTGCTCCTCGAGCCTCGCAAGTTCAGCCTCTTCTCTGCGCCACTCTTCTTGTTGTCTCTGTTCTTCTCTTCGACGTTCCTCGGCCTGAAGTCGCTCCACCTCCTCGACTTGAGCGATTATTCGATTAATCTCCGCAGCTTCGGCATCCGCTATCTCGGCCCTTTCATCTCTAAGGCGTCTCAACTCTTCTTGACGGTTGTTGTCGTCCGCCTCGGTGCAAGCGCAACTCCGCCACTTTGCGCCGCAAGAGTAACAGAACTGCGCACCACATTTGCAGGTCATGTGTCGGCAACCTTGCGAGCGCTGGTAATCGTTAGCCCGATTCTATAACTCAAATAAATACAACTTTACCTCGACCATGGTGCGGCACTTGAAACAACGTCGCCAGCCTTGCAGTTCAGCTAGCACCATTGTGGCCTCGAGACCAAAGTCTTGAGGACAATCTGCAGAATCTCGATGAGCCAAGCCGCGACATATACTGCAAATCTTGGTTGCACAATGGGGACATCTCATGTTCAATATGCGGATGCGTTGTAGCTTTGAGGGTGGGATCCATTTCAAGCATTTTGTGTTCGGGCAATACCATCTTTCTTGAGGTGCAATAGCATATTCAGCAGCCTTCTCTTTGTATAACTCCCTGTGTTTAGCGTCGAGTGACAACAAAACCGTCTGCAATGGAATCTCTGTCAAGCAACATTTCGGCGGAAAGCTAGATTCGTTTTGGAGGGCGGTTGTGATCAGGGTCGTCAAGCAGGACTTGCAATATGAGTGGTTGCAAGGAAGTTTCCTCGTCTCGTGCTCGGAAGCCTCTTCAAAGCAACTTGTGCATTCAACCTGAGTCGCAGACTTTGACAGCGTCTTTGCACTGGCAGAAGCCTGCAATGACTCCCTGTCCGCTTTGCCCTTGAGGGTAGTGATAAGGCCCAGCGTAGACCCAAGAACTCCGCCTCCAAGGTATCGTGCTCTCAGTCGACCTCTCTCAGAACGGCGCTCAGACTGGGTGCTTCGAGATTCAGATGTGTCGTCGTTGTCAAATCCCTCAGACGCCACAGAGCGACCATTCGAGTCTGCAATCGTCTGACGAGGATTGTAATCGTCTTGTACATGGACAGAGTCTCGAACATTAAACCCTTCCGTCCGTTGAACAGTTTGCCTGTCATTGCTTGGTGGCGGTGGAGGGAGGTCAGGGGACAATGACCAAGCAAGAATTTGTTTGAGCTTTTCAGGCAAGTTCGAGTCGTCTTCAACTCCCTGTAGCTCCGGTGGTATATTTTGTACTGTCCAGTCGTTGCCGGGTCGTCTATTGAAGTCGACATCCTTAAAAGCCTCCCAAGTCTCGTCTGGGAGACGCTCCTCATTGCTGGAGGCTTCGGCGAACTTTTGTGACATTGAGACGTACAGATAGACGATGTAGCAGGTTAGAAGGGAGAAAATCAAAGAGCTCAGGGAAACAAAAGTCATTGAATACTATGAATGGAAAGCTGCATCGTCCCACTTGGGTCGTGACATAGAAATGAGTATGAGGTTTGCTATTTTGGGGGAAATGGCACACCAGGGCTTGGGAGACAAACGCACAACCTGCCCATGGCAACGGTCAAACGAAGGCTTAAAACATGACTCAACACCCAAGGTGAACTGTTCCTCGGCTGGCACGGCTTGAGATGAGTCCCAAGTATGCCTGGTGGGAGGAGAGAGGCTCTTGGTGGAGGCATTGGTGGTATCCTCATGATAGCCGTGCTGCCTAACCATGCGCGCCATGCCATAGCAAGAACACTATACAAAGTGCGCGGGCCGACTGTTCGAGTATTCTCAGTCAAGGTGGAGCTGCGCCGCTGCCTGTGGTTGTCAGGTGCACAGCTGCGAGCAAATTCGCCAATCAGCCTGACGAAGGGAGCTTCGTGCCGTCTTGTCTGTCAGTACAACAGACGCCTTGAAAGGCTATGTAGCGAGTACTAGAAGTCAAGGTGGGAAAGCAGGTGTCTGCCCAGCTCCCAAGATAATATCGAGTGGACATCTGTCTCGGTGTCACGAGGTGATTGGCTTCGAGGGCGAACGACAAGCTCTGGGCTGAGCCATATAGGAAGGCGTGCTTGAGAATAATGGTGGATTGGGTAGATTGAAGCCCCCAAATCCAGTTTCTAGAAGGTGGATTTAGCCCCCTTTGCCAAGTCAGGAAGGGCTGTGCGATTAGCCCGCAGTTTGCCGACAAGGCTGACACTAACAGTGACAGACGGAATCAGACCCTTCGATGAATTCACAGTATTGAGTGTCGGTTTCGGGTCAACGGATTAGACATAGTAGGCGGGGATTGGGACAACGTATAGTGGTACTAGTGTCGCTGTCATGAGCCTCATAGCCGGCAGTCACAGGCTGGACATGAAGCATCTTGGTCCGAACCCCTTGCGCAAGTACGAGTAACCATGGAGAAGCGAAGCTGGGAAACCTGAAGACAGTGGATGCAACTCTGAAATAAATTCATTCGGCCCTTATCGGTTGTTCTGAGCCATGTTGTAGAACATTCACAACTAGACAGGCCAGCTCGATGATCAGTCAGTCCGATCACTGAGTTTCACACCATCCGAGGCTCCGGGATGAGTCTGGTCATGCGACCACCCTCGCAGTGAGGGGGACTGCCATCTTCGCGAGTAAAAGGTGACTTGGGGTTCTTTTAGTGATTCCCAATCCCGTCTGCAAACTTTTAGTCCTCTTCCTCCTCATCGCCTTCCACAGCAGTCTGGGCAATTCGATCCAGATCTCGTGCACCGGCTTGTGTTATTCTTCGTCCGCCCTTTCCGCTGCCACCTTCTTCGTCATCGTCAATCTTCTCCAAAATGCCCAACTCCTCGAGAGCTTGCATCACTTTGCGGTCGACAGCGCCAGATGCGTTGACGTGGTGTGAGGGGCGAGAACCGCGATTCTTCGTGCTGCCGTGGACTTTTCGGAGACGGCCAACACCAACGGACTTTCTTAGGTAGACGTGTCGGGCAACTGAGGCAGCTCTGACGTAGAACCAGTCGGCGGATTGGGGAGGCAGTTCGTTTGAGTGTGAGGTCTTGACGGTGTCAACCCAACCTGTAAAGCATGAATTATCAGTATCTTCCTCCATAAAATATTTTGCAGCGTGATGATTCGTCTTTCCAAGCACCCAATCCAGTTCCGGGAGAGTAGGTTGTAAAGAGCTGGAGCAGAGCCGTACCTGGCACTCGGAGTTTCCCTTGTCGCTTCAAAAATGCTGCATATGCCTCGATGAATTTTTGTGCCTGCGTCACCCGCATCGTCAGTCCATACTTCTTTCACTGAAACCCCACGTTCAAAAGCGCAAGGTCGTAGTGAGAACTGCGTCTCTTTCCCACAACAACGAATTGGACTTCCTTGCGAGCAAGTTATTCGGGTCGCACTCACATCGACATCTCGAACGGTAACGCCACCCATGATTGCAAACGTCGAGACGGGCGTCTCAGCAATCACAATTATGGATTGAGGAAAGGTGGTCGCTATGAATTGGTGGAGAGGTTGTCGTTTGGTATCGTCGTCAAAATCCTGGAAGTTCGCAGCACTTGGCACCGAAAAAGTTGTGTGGTGAAAATATGCCAAGAATTTCACAGCTTATCTTGGCGTGTTTGCTATGAGGGGCAATTGCGCAACACGTTGCTCTGCATTTACAAGTACTTTAGGCACCAACTATCACATAACATTCCGAGCCCGACCAATACTGTATTGACGCCTTCTGACACAAACCAGCGTTTCTGTGCCTGCTCCGCTAGATAAAACTCGCTAACATTGACATTGGAAGAACCGAGGAAAGAAGACGTCTCCTTCGTAAAGCACTACTAGCCTTCCAGTCGCTCAAGCAATATTTTTCCGCAAGATGTTATCGCTTTTGTAGGGTCACAAGGCGAGGTTGAAAGGGCCTTTACAGAGTTGAAGCTGTCGTTGCACAGGCGATAGCCCCAACATGTAACAAGGATCTCCTGGACAATATGTCGTCAGCGAAGGTATCCTTCCACCTGTGTTTGCCACTTACAAAAAGCTCAATTGCGCCCACCACTGGATGAGATCGTGAGTCTGATAGCTTTCGACTGTCCCTTGCTGCGCGTGTGCTTTGGAGTCATCCTCTTCATCTCTTGTTGCTGCATCCGCTCGGCGATTTAGCTCGTCGTTTGTCCGTTTCATCACCCCAAATGTGAAGGGCACAATAGCTATCGAGAGACCGCTTGCAGCCCAGAGTAGTTGCCGCTGGAGCCTAGCTTCTGATGGCAGGTGCTTTGCCGCGTATAGCCAACATCCACTGGCAAGCAGGGCGAAGAATGGGCCTGCTTTCTTTCCAACGTTATAAGCTTCCTGCCACTGCCGGGCGAGGTGTCCAAACTTTGTCGCTGGTCTCTGGGAAGAGCTGGATGTTGGAGAGTTTGTATTTTCAGAGTTTGCTGGGACTGGCAAGGCTGGTTTGGGGGATGGTAACAGCAGAACCGGGACGGTCAAAAATGAGATGCTAAGATTAGCGCCGAAGAATATGGCCGAAGATGTTATCCCAAGAGCAGTTCCGAGGACAACAGTGTTGGGTTTCGACGACATGCTGAGGGACGCTGGGGTTTCACCAAGCTATAATGATCAAGAGCCTGTTGTCTAAGACTGCTGCTTGTGTGATGCTTGCTCGATGATTACCATCTCTGTTCCTGCGATGAACTTGGGATGGTGTCTCAGAGCGATCCTATGAAAGAGTCAGTTATAATAGCATCGAGCAATATTTGTCCATGTGAGGTCATGGAGGAGTGAGGAGTAGCTGAGATGTTCAGATCGTAGCTATCACATGTCACCAGGCATCTCTCGTACCTCGTACGGTGAAATTCGTACGTCTCTCGCTATCTACCATACATTCTTAGTTCGCCTGGACTGTCTCCCCCCTGGTTTAAAAGGAGTTAAGGACCAGGCAAACTAGAGGCCCAAAGCTGTTCTCCCCTGTTGTTGTACATTCCTACATACGTACATCATACATCCAGGATGTGGTACTTGGTGGGGAGCGAGTGCATGGTGGATCTCCATCAAGGTCTGAGAAATATCGAACTCCTTCTCAGTGCTCGTGACGCATTGGAAACCCACCTGCAACTCGCCTATATTTAGTATCTGCCCAGACAAAGCAGACGCCCAAACGCCCTACTACTTGCGGTTGTGGTTGTACCCCGCAGGCCATCGTCACTTGTGCAGTCCCAGCCGTCTAGCCCCAAACCTTGGGCGAGTCGCTCAGGTCGCTCAGGTCGCTCAGGCTAATAAACTCGTTTCACGCTCTTGTCCTCGCCTACGAATACTCCAAGAGAGCGCCTAGACTGTTCTCGACCTTGGCAGGCACAGACTACCGAGTACCGGGTACACAGCCTGTCTCTCGAGTAATTTGGGGAAGCACTTCGCACGCTGCAGGAGACCTGGGGGCTGAGGTAGTACCACAGTACCCAAACCCCCCATCACTGTACAGAATGCGTCGTTGCGGTCCAAGGCACGCCCAGGTGGCCTTCTGCTTTGACTTTATGACGCGCGTAGTGTCACTGATGTTTCGACTCTCGCATTGATGCCCCCGTCGTTAATGCAGCGCAGCCTATACTCCGAGGGGGATGCGGGAGAAATAGAGGTTCGCATTTTTCTGCTGGAATCTGCTGCTTCCTACGAGGACGAACCCTGGGGTCGGACTGATCACAGTGTCACTCTTGGACAGTCTGCTCTCCGAACATTCAAGTCCGCTCTACAGAAGTCACAGAGATGCATGGATGGCGTTGCTGCCGCAGTCCTATGCCGCAGATTCCCTGCATAAAGAGATCTATTCATGCACTGGTGGTAGTCAAGGATGCGGATTGACAGGGATTCTACTGTATATCATACCCCAGATATCGTCGACATGGAGAGGTTCGCCGCAAGGTGGAATTGTACCCTTTGAAGTTTCATCGTCTCGAGGACGACGAGATTAGTTTTGCTCGTCCTCCATCATGTTTTGGCATGACGTTTCACTAGAGGATGGACACCGTTCGTGCTATGGCCTGGAAATCGAGTGTGGACGTCGCCAATGGATCATGCCAGGCCGCGCCGCACCAGCTTCCAGGGAAGTGACCTGACACCCGAAGAACATGGCTGTTTTTGGCTTATTGGAGTTGCATGCATCGAAGTCTTGGTGGACAGTTCGGGTCAGTCATGACGGAGGCCGAGAAGATGGAAGAAACCACCTTGGTGTGAGTATTTAGGATAATTTCCAGATGAAATCTGGAGAACATTGCACGCATGGACATGAGAAAGTTTACAACTAGGTTGGCTGGTTTCTATAACGAGGGCCAAAGTTTTTCTCCTGGGACTGCAGTCGGGAGTAGTTACTCGTTAGGTACAAATACGAAGTCCATGGTCAGGAGAAAGGCCATTGGCTTAGTGGCTTATTATCTCGCCTCGCATAGCTAACCGTTTCAGTCCATTATCGCTACAACGCTCACATTGGTTGCACAGCCCCCTCGACAAGGCAGAAACCCCCAACTGGTCACCTCCTGCCCTCGCATTGACGAACCCAAGCCTCTTCTTCAAGGCGTCACAAAAAGAATGATCAATAGCCTCGTGTCCCTATCGAGGATATATAGCAATGTTGTTCCATGCCCTCAGCACCATCTGCGTCAAACGGCAAGGCTATAAGGCACATCATCACACATCCTCACAACCAGCTGGACATCCCAATTTACACTGGTCACTAAACTACTGAGCACCATTACTACGAAGAAATCCTACAAGTCACATCTCTCACCATGGGCGTCTCAGCATTCGAGATACTGGATATCCTCGAACTCATCTACTTCACCCCAGCTCTGATAGCTTCGGCCTATATCGTCTACAAGCATGGCCATCACAAACGACTCGGCTGGAGATTTCTCGTCATGATCTGTCTATTCCGACTGATCGGCGCAATCACCTCTCTTATCGATGTCAAGCATCCATCCAGCGGCTTGACCATCACGTACGATGTCATGACCAGCTTTGGCCTGTCAGCAATTCTCTCCACAGCGTTGGCTCTCCTAGATCGTGTTGAGGACAGCATGGCACCACACGGTCTGCCCCATCGGGTATTTCAGCTCCTTCACCTCCCCAGTCTTGTTGGTCTCATCCTCAGCGTCGTCGCGAGCACGAATCTTTTCAGCGACAGCCAATCTAATGTCTCGGAGGGCTTCACCGAACTAAAAGCCGCGGTGTGTCTGTTCTTGGTTGTTCTGGTCGCCGATTTCCTCATCACAGGACATTGTTTCTTGAAGATCGGTCATGTCCAGCCTGGCGAACGCGGCCTTCTATTCGCGGTTGCCTTGGCTCTGCCCTTTATGGCCGTCCGCATGGCCTTCTCTCTTCTGTGCGTCTTCGCCAACAATCCCAAATGGTTCAGCTCTTGGAGCTTGGAGTGGTCCGCCATCCTTGTTCACGGCATCTTGGGAGTTCTGATGGAGGCCGTCATTGTCACGATATTCATCGTGGCTGGTTTTATCACAAAACCTGCGGTCCTACCACCGGCTCACGAAGGCAAAGTAACTTACGACCTGGGTGCTCGGAGTGTGTAAAGAAGCGGTGTATCAGTCAGGTTGGACAGTTACCCGAAAAGTCTGAGTCGCAGGATGCTCTTGGGAGGAGCTGGTTTGTCATTTGAAGCGTACAGCATGGTGTTAAGGATACAGTGTAATTCAGGACTCCGTCATTAGTCTATAGCTTGCAGTTAGTTGCCGCAAGGAATGTAAAAACACAACACCTCATTTAACGAGAACCACTCTCATCAATTCCCAAAGAGCGTGTGGCGATGGAAGAAAGAGCATGGATGGTGCAGTGAATGGCGCCTTGAAGCGGGCATTTGGACAAGGTGGCCGCCGATTGGGCAATCTGGCAAACTACGCCGAGTGCCGCAGAGGAACCAGATTTCCACCACATCTGAGGACAAGTTGTCTGCTCAGCATCCACCATTTGGCTAGACACATCTCAACTCGAAGAGCTCTTCCTCCCTCCCTCTGACCAAGCTGTCCGTACATTCTCCTCGTTTCTGAACCGGTATGGACGTGACCCTGTACCGATCAAGTCAATAAAAACCCTCGCACATTATCGGCATATCTCCCTCTCAGTGCCCTCCCTCCGCACTGTACGTCCCCTCTACGCCACAGACGAACCTACGCTCCTTCGTCGATTCCTTCACGTCTGGACCGAGAATTGCATGAACGAGCTTCGAGGGTAGTGATTGAAGATGTCGCAACAATTCCCCCAGCAATATCCTCAGCAAGGCGTGCCTGGACAGGATGGCTTCGGTCAGCAGCCACCGCAACCACCTGCGGGTCAAAATTATGAAAACTACGAAACAAACAATCCACCAGGGGTGCAACCAGCGCCTGCTCCAGGTCCGGCTCATGCTGGCAGGAAGAAGCGCGCCTATGCGGGACAAGCCTACGAGTTCGGTGCCGGCGCGAATGCTGCCCTGGGAGGACAACAACCCGCAGGCGGCGCTGCATACTCTGGGTATTCCGTTCAACAAGATGCAGCAGGCTATCCGCAAGGAGGGTATCAGCAGAACCCTGCAGCAGTGCAACAGACTGCAGCTCCTCTATATCCTGGACAGGAGCCACCAGCTGCATTGGGAGGTTATCAACCTCCCGCGCCGGCCTACCCTGCCCCAGGCGGTGTGGCGGGCATGACACAACAGTTTGGCGAGATGGACATCTCTCAGAAACCATCGGTCGCCGCTGCACCACAGCAGGCACAACGTGCTCCGGTTTTGAACCAGCTTTACCCGACCGATCTCTCGAACCAGCCGTTCAATGTGGCGGAATTGGACTTTCCACCTCCGCCAGTCATTCTTCCCCCTAACGTATGGACTTGAATTGCTCCCTTATCCCTGTGTTAGAAGCTAAACATTTCATAGACCAGCGTTACACCCTCACCCTTTGCGAACTGTCCTCCAAAATTTGTCCGATCGACGCTGAACGCCGTTCCCACCACTCATTCCCTCCTCAAAAAGTCGAAACTTCCATTCGCCCTTGTCATTCAACCATATACATCCCTACACGATGTTGAAGATCCTATACCAGTAGTGCCAGATCAGGTCATCTCCCGTTGCAGAAGATGTCGGTCGTACATCAATCCGTTCGTCACTTTCCTGGACCACGGGCATCGATGGAGATGTAATATGTGCAACCTGACCAACGACGTGCCGCAAGCGTTTGATTGGGATGCAGCCGCCCAGAAAAGTCTCGACAGGTGGCAGAGACCAGATCTAAATCACGCAGTGGTTGAGTTCATTGCGCCACAGGAATACATGGTTCGGCCTCCACAACCACTTGTTTATCTATTCCTGCTCGACGTCAGTTATGCGGCAGTGTCGAGTGGACTTCTGGCAACAACGGCCAGGTGTATTCGAGAGAGCTTGGATCGGATACCGAATGCGGATCGACGCACGCGCCTGGGCTTTATCGCGGTCGACTCCAGTTTGCACTTCTTCAATATCCCTCGGGATGGAACTGAGAATGCCCAAACAAGCATGCTAGTTGTTAGCGACCTTGAAGAGGCATTCTTGCCCACTCCTGCTGATTTACTGGTGACTCTGACCGAATGCCGGGAAAATATCGAAAATTTCCTGGACAAGCTTCAAGAAATGTTCCAGAATACCCAGAATGGCGCATCCGCCATGGGATCTGCCCTTCGTGCTGGGCACAAGCTTATCGGACCAGTTGGTGGGAAAATGACTGTTGTTACTGCTTCACTTCCCAACATTGGCCATGGCAAACTCGAAATGCGCGAGGATAAGAAACTACTCGGCACGTCAAAGGAAAGCAGCCTGCTCCAGACGGGCAACAGCTTCTACAAGAGCTTTGCCGTCGAATGTTCGAAACAACAAATCTCAGTGGATATGTTCCTATTTTCCTCACAGTACCAGGACGTGGCGTCTTTGAGCAATTTACCAAGATATACCGGGGGCCAGACCTACTTCTATCCTGGCTGGAATGCCGCCAGAGAAGAAGATGCCATGAAGTTCGCCAAAGAGTTCTCCGACTACCTGTCGGCAGAGATCGGTCTGGAGGCTGTTCTACGTGTTCGTGCGACGACAGGATTGCGGATGAGCACCTTCTATGGCAATTTCTTCAACCGCAGCTCGGATCTGTGTGCATTCCCAGCATTCCCACGAGATCAAAGTTACGTTGTGGAAGTTGCAATCGACGAGACAATCACGAAGCCAGTTGTGTGTTTGCAGTCTGCCGTCCTTCACACCACGTGTAACGGTGAACGACGAATTCGAGTCTTGACGCTCGCTCTACCCACAACCCAGCAACTGGCGGATGTATACGCATCGGCTGATCAGCAAGCCATCACAGAGTATTTCAGCCACAAGGCCGTCGAACGTGTCCTCAACAGCGGGCTTGACAGCGCTCGGGACATGATTCAGAACAAACTGGTCGAGCTTCTGGCCACGTACAAGAAGGAGCTTGCAGGAGGCAGTATGGGTGGAGGTGGCCTTCAATTCCCTGCCAACCTTCGAGGTCTGCCTGTGCTTTTCCTTGCCTTGATCAAGAACTTAGGCCTCAGGAGATCGTCACAAATTCCCAGCGACATGCGGTCAGCAGCTCTATGTTTGCTCTCGACGCTACCTCTCCCGTTGCTGATTCAGTACATCTATCCGAAGATGTTTTCTCTGCACGATATGCCAGATGATGCAGGGACGGTGGATGAGAAGACCGGCGAAATCATCCTCCCACCGCCCATCAATCTCGTGTCAGAAAGGCTCGTGCCATATGGATTGTATCTGATCGATGACGGACAGACCCAATTCCTTTGGGTAGGACGGGATGCTGTTCAACAGCTCATGATTGACGTCTTTGGACTGGCAGACAAGAGTCAACTCAAAGTGGGCAAGCAACGACTACCCGAGCTGGACAACGATTTTAGTGAGCGAGTGAGGGCAGTCGTCTCCAAGAGCCGTGACCACCTATCCAAGGGGGTGGGCAGCATCGTGGTGCCTCATCTCTACGTGGTGAAAGAGGATGGCGAACCAGGATTGAGGCTTTGGGCCCAAACCATGCTTGTCGAGGATCGAGCAGATCAAGGAGTGAGCTTACAGCAGTGGATGGGGATGATGCGCGAAAAGGTACAGTCATGATCGAACGTTTCACTTATGGTGGGTGTGGATTGCTAATTCGATCGAATGCAGGTCATGCAATAAACACCACACCCTGAAGAAAGACACGAGGTCGGGCCTCTGATGAAAGCCGAGTAGGAAAGAGGATGCTTTCTGACTACTATGGAAGAGATACGAGGAGAGGTCAAATGATGCACGCCAGCCATACTTGTTGCACGCATGTACACAATAAACTTGGGCTAGATGAGAAGGGTCGTCCCGCTTTGACCTATCGGGTAGTCAGTGACCATGGTGATGGACGAGACCACAAGAGCCCTGGGGCTATTTCTAGCTTTGGAGCAGCTCATGGTCTGCGGCAACAAGCAAAGATGAAACGCTGATCCGACATGCTCAAACAAGGCAAATGGGTGGGTAGAGACTGTCACAGGAGGGCCGAGCCTATTCGGCCCACGGATGGATGGGGTTAAGCTGGCCGCTGAAGGGGTCGCTGAGGGCCACTTGGGATTAGTGCGCCCGCTCTATTCTGCCTTAGCTCCGCCTAGTGAGCCAATGCCGGCGCCTATTCATCCAAACGTCCTTCAATTCGACCGCGGCGTGAATGGGGATTCGGTCCTGAAGTGTGAATGCCAGCTGCTTCACCCTCCCCTCAATGTGATACTCACCTTTTGATCACCTTTGCGGCACCATCTCATTGCGGACATCTCTTGTTCTCATTCTTCTTTGTTCCTCGTTTCGTCAAATCCCCTCATTGTTGAGCCTTTGTTGCACTGTCCGATTGCAACGTGGTCGCTGCGCAAACCCCTAATCTACATAACCCCGCGCCCGTTAACAACCCTGAGCAACACTCTCAGGTAACCCACAGGTCTTTACCGCCCTGAAGATTGCAGATAAGGCTTGAACCTCGCAGGCGAGAAGCCAGACCAGGAAACAAATCTGTACGCCGCCTTCTTCGCTCTGTTTGTTGTCGCATACTGTAAGGAATGTGGAATCTGACTCTGCCGCAGCACACAGCACACTCCACAACCCTCTCCTCCGTGGCTGCGCCGTCCATCCATCCTGCTGGGGCATCTTTACTTGCCAGCATCGACATCTTACCACCTGGAGCGCGCTGAATTGCCTCGCCTCAAGTACGGAGTTCGCGTCCAGACGACCCAGCGTCCACTGTGAAACAGCGCAGACAAGCGGAGCCGACCTGAACTAGGGCCCGCGCCCAAGCGAACTACCCTCACTACCATCTCCGACCTACAAAGCCGCGACCTCACGCTCACCTTCCTCCGAATTGAAGCAATAAGGCGAGAGCTACCCGTGATCGAAAGCACAACCGTTGGTCTTACTTTGGATACCCCAGCCGGCTTCAGAGGCAGGGACACGTGCTCGATTGATTTACCAGGAGACCTACCAAGGACTTATTGTGACTTGTCGGAAACATGGGACAACCACAGCAACAAGCGGCGCCATCGGGAGGCTCCAGAAAGATCTCGTTCAACGTCTCTGACCAGTACGATATCCAAGATGTTATTGGGGAGGGGGCTTATGGCGTCGTCTGGTACGTGTGTAACATTGGATCTGTGGACGCTGCGACTGACTCGTCAAAGTTCTGCACTGCACAAGCCGTCAGGTCAGAAAGTGGCCATCAAAAAGATCACTCCATTTGATCACTCTATGTTCTGCCTGCGCACGTTACGAGAAATGAAGCTGCTGCGATACTTCAACCACGAGAACATCATTTCGATTCTTGACATTCAAAAGCCACGAAATTATGAGTCCTTCTCCGAGGTCTATCTCATTCAGGTTGGTCTCGGATTAACAGGAGAAGCGAGCAAGAGTATTGACACTCTTTTACAGGAACTCATGGAAACGGACATGCATCGCGTGATTAGAACCCAAGATCTCTCGGACGACCACTGCCAGTATTTCATCTATCAGACTCTGCGCGCTCTCAAAGCCATGCACTCTGCGAACGTCCTTCATCGAGACCTGAAACCATCTAATCTCTTGCTCAATGCTAATTGCGATCTCAAAGTCTGCGACTTCGGCCTCGCGAGATCTGCAGCTTCAACGGACGACAACTCAGGATTCATGACGGAATATGTTGCGACAAGATGGTATCGTGCTCCAGAAATCATGCTCACGTTCAAGGAATACACCAAAGCCATTGATGTATGGAGTGTTGGCTGTATACTTGCAGAGATGTTAAGTGGCAAGCCCTTGTTCCCTGGAAAAGACTGTATGAATTGCTCCTCTTGTGACGCTGGCCGTGCTAACTTCGTTCCAGATCATCATCAACTCACCCTAATATTGGATGTCCTTGGTACTCCGACGATGGAGGATTACTACGGCATCAAGTCCCGGCGTGCGCGAGAATACATCCGGTCATTGCCCTTCAAGAAGAAGATCCCCTTGAAAGCACTCTTCCCCAAGACTTCGGACCTGGCATTGGATTTGTTGGAGAGGCTGCTAGCGTTCAACCCAGTCAAGCGCATCACGGTTGAAGAAGCCCTCAAGCACCCGTACTTGGAGCCTTATCATGACCCTGACGATGAGCCCACTGCGGATCCTATTCCAGAAGAGTTCTTTGACTTTGATAGGAACAAGGACCAGCTCAGCAAGGAGGAATTGAAGGCGTTGATTTGGAATGAGATCATGCGATAGACTTGTCGAGGCCGAACTTGCTCTGTGCCACCCAATTGCGACAACGAAAGGATCAGCACTGCAGATTCATATTTTTCGGGCTGTGTGAAAGATGACTATCAGGCGATGAAAGGAAGAGGCCAATAGAGCCAAGGACCGAAGTGAGTATCTAGACATAATGTTATGCTAGGTCCTGGCTTCTCTGGAACGACAGGAAAATATGGCCAGAAAGGTCACAACAATCGTCAACATTGTGCTTGGATGAGAAAGCTGGAACATGAATTGCCCCGCCACGCATTGCATTCGCATGTTTGTTACGGTTGAACGGAGTTGCATGAATTGAAGTGGACGGATAGAGATCAGATCAATGCAGAATCCAGCCCCCTTGCTCCTTTCCACAAAATGTCTCCGTGCTCACATCTCATGCCCGACGCTGTCTGTTTGCGTTGAGACAAGGCCTCACCGTTTAGAGTGTAGAGACTGCTCTGTACAGCTACACACAGTCAGGGGACCTTTTTTTTTCTTTATGATAACTAGTAACAGGGCTCTGCTACAAGTAATAGTGCGGTAGATGACTGTCCTGCAGATGTCAAAATACTTGATTAAAGAGTACCTTGTTTGTGGTCGGTATTATCTCGTGGAGGGAACCAATTAAGGGGTCCCTGGCCAGCTAGGGCGCGATAATTCACAACCCAACGCGCCCCCAAACCGAGCCCACAACCCCAAATATTTTGAAGAAATATATTCTCCATCTCCCAAAATACTGCAAAATTTTACCAATTTTCTCTCCCTGAGAAAAACTTGTTAAAAGATTGTCAGTGTGGCCGAGTGGTCTAAGGCGTGTGACTTGAATTTAACCGAAACGTCCAACACTCCTCCAGGGGATAAGCACCCGTGGAGGGCGAACGTTTTCACAAAATTTCAATGGCTATCACATCTCTTCGGAGGCACAGGTTCGAACCCTGTCGCTGACGTCCAGTTCTCTTTTTGTTTTTTTCTTCCCCCCTCCTCAGGGAGGCAAGGGGGTTACAGGAGACTTGGGGGGGGGGGGATTTTCCTAAGTGCTTGCTTGCTCACTTAAACATGTAGGTAGGTACCTAGCCTTACTTTTTCGAAGGGGGTATCCGATAAATTGGTCTTGCGTGGTGTGGGTGTTTCAGAGAAGACGCTCCTGGATACTATGTACATTAAATACATACGGAACACTTGGTACGGGGACTACAAGGCTGCTGGACTGGAGAGGGATGGGCTTAGTCCATAACAGCATACACTCAAAACCCGTTAAAAGATGCGCGCCTTTTATCTCTGGGTTTGCGAGGACCTCCAACAACGACTCCATCTGGTCTAATGCGTCATATGGAACAAGAGGCATGAAGGATGGTGGGCTCAAGTGTGCCCTCAAGACATATTCCTATCTTTGAACCTTCACTTTCTAACTGTGTATGTACAATCTCTCAGGGATCGAGAAGGTCCAATGGTCTTCTCCAAGCTCTTCAACTACAAGCCCTCAACCAACCCACGCTGACATCTCCTCACCATCTACTGATCATCAATAACGTGCAGATACTTCTTCGCCTCCTTCTTCTCCCGGGCCGTTGCTGGAGGCAAATCATAGTAGGAGCTGCTCCGGTAGTCTTGCAGATATAGGTAGGTCAAGTCTCTCAACTCTGCCGGCTCGATTCCCAGATCTTTGAAGGTCTTTGCTCCCTTTTCAACGGTCTGATCCAGTGACTCTTGTTCCAGCTGATCCGCCGTCATGATTGGCCACCAAATGACCTTGTTGAGGTAGTAAAGGATGGGTTTGAGGATAGCTTTGGGCACGTCAATGTGGCGGCGCTCTTTAATAATTTCCCTGTCGACAATTTCGGCGATTTCGCGCATGCTATAATTTGTGGGGCCGTAGAGTTCAAAAGTCTCGCCCGCCGTGGTGTCATCGTAGCCAATCTTTTCCAAAGCCATTCCGACGTCGATAGCCTAACAATACAGAGTCAGAGGCGCGGGAGAATGGGCGGACACAAAGGTAGACTCACATGAACCGGGTTGAAACGTTCCTGCATGTTGTTCACGGTAATCAAGTTGGTAACGCCAGCAAGGCGATGTAGAAGGGTATCTTCAAAGCCGAAGCAGGGTGCCGGTCGAACAATCGTGGTCTCGGGGAAGAGCTGTCTTGCAACTTTCTCTCCCATGGCCTGTAAGACGTGTTAGTTACCACTAGTCTCGCCATCCTGGCAAAAGTCCTGACCTTTGTCCTGAAGAACTCGGAGGGCGAGTCAATGTCGGCATTGTACGAGGAGAGATGAATGAACCGGTCAACGTCGTATTTTGCAACGGCTTCAGCTATTCTTTCCACACCCTCGACATTGACATCCCACAGACTGAAGTTTTTGGTCGGGTAATTCTTGCCAATCAGGTTGAACACAATATCGGAGTGTCGCACACTCTCTTCGATCGACTGCGTGTTTCTCAGGTCGAATTCCATAAATGAAACTCTCCCCAGATCACCAGTGGGCTTCAAATGTCTCTTCCCCATGTCATCTCTGTAGGGCACGACAACTTGGCACCCTCTCTTTGCTAGTCGCTGGACGATGTATCTCCCGAGGAACCCATTTGCACCGAACACAGTAACTGTATAGCCCCCTAACGAGGATCTTCCTCCAGCTTGTTTTATGATTGGTTTCCCCGTCCTGGTGATGGCGATGTCTTGGTTGTACCCGCGTTGGAAGGATTTCGGTTTCAGTGACGACCGAGCTGCGCGCAGCGCGAGGGTGGTAGGTTGACAGGTGTGCATCTTGCAATGCAGCACCCGACGGAGGCCTTTGCAGGCAATCGTACGTCGGTGTGAGTTGGGGTCCGAGGAGGTGACGAGTTGTGACCTACGAGGAGCTCAATGCCTGTCGACCTCCAACAGCTCCGCTGCGTCAAGTGTCTGTTCGCTTGGCAGCTCAGGATGAGATACAGTGAGGATCCACCATGGAATCACGTGTCTTTCCGCCGAAAATGATGCTCAGTGCTATGCCAAGACTGTAATGACCAAAATCTTATCGCTCATTGGCCGACCTGTAAAGCCACACAAGGCCTCCTTAGAGGCAAGGCAGTCTGGATGTGCATGTTTGGACTCGGAAATTATTCCTGTGACAAAGTGATACACCTCATGTTAGACACGCAACACCAGGGATACTCTGCAATGGAGCATATTTCGCAAAGTCGAACTAAAACGACCTAGGTGGGGTCTGTCCAAGAACCATTTCGGGGTCAAGACCCGCTCGCAAACTCGAGTGGAAGTGGCTTAGCGTCGATTGTTGGGTACAGACAAGATGTGATCGTCCTCTTTTGCTTGCTGCCTTGAGGTTCTATGGTAATGAATTCTGCTTCTCATCCTCCTAGCCCGGTACGTAGCATTCAGTTCTCCATTCTCGTTCGCTCATCTCGGATTCCCCCAAAAAACAAAGTTCACGAGGCTGTCGTCGGCCGTCATGTATCCTTGTCAGGGTTGGGCTCCAGGAGAAGGAAAAGGGCATTCGCGAATACGGCCGATTACTGCTGCCTTCAAGTACCCAGACCTTCTATTTTGAGACCAACTTGCGAGAAACCGTGAATAATACATTTCTTGGGTGATGCTGTTTGTCTGTCTATATAAATCATGTCAATGCCACCGTACAACATGTTTCGTGGCTCAACATCATCACACGAGCTGAGGGACAAAGATTCCCTCCAAGCATCATTCGTCCTGGCGCACTATATCCTGCCTCCCTTTTTCCCTCGCCCATCACAGCTTGTTGATCGGGATCCTCATTCAAAATGTCAATGCCTCATGATGTGCACAAATCCTCAGGGCACAGTCGTGGCGCCAAACCAGGTCAACTCTGGCTCACGCTTGGGCGGCGCATATACCACCCACTCGGTTTCAAGAAGGGCTATAATTTTATACTCTTCGTCATACTCGTCGGGGCCCTCATGGGGTTCGTACTCGCTCGGTTCCAATACTTGAACATTGATGGCATCTTTTTGAAGGTATGCTCCTGCCTGGACCGAAGGAGGAGCCCACGGGGAGCTGATACTAACAGTGGGTGGTACGCAGAATACAATCCCAGGAGACGCTATTCACTATCAGTCGGGATACAAGCGCATTGGGATTATCCTCCATCTGGGCTGCATCCTTCCAGCAGGCTTCTTAGTCTGTTTCCAGTTCGTACCAGCGATCAGGCACAAATTGCTGCTCTTCCACAGACTGAATGGCTACACCATTATTCTCTTGTTGCTGACCGGCAACGCGGGCGCATTCATGGTCACTCCCATCGCTGGAGGAGGATCACCGTCCACTCAAGTCGGCATTGGCCTTCTGGGAACAATGACTACGGTCTCAGTGGTGCTGGCATACGTCAATATCAAACGTCTGCAGATCGACCAACACCGTGCATGGATGATCCGTACCTGGGTGTATGCGGGTAGCATCATCTCGGTGCGTCTGGTTCAGATGGCCGCGAACACGTTCATCGCGCAGCATCAACAGGGCCATTGGTATGATGTGCAGACCTGTGGGGACATATGGAAGCAATATACCCTGTATGGAGCCCCTGCCGGAGCGGGAAATCCAACACCATACCTATACCCCGAGTGCACGGCGCCGAACTCAAGCGTACCGGTGGTCATCAAGGCAAATGTGGACGGTGCAGGCCCCGAGTTTGCTACAGCTTCCTTCCACCTGACGTTTGGCATGTCTGTGTGGATATGTCTAGCTACCCATGCCATCGGTGTCGAGACATATCTGAAGCTGACACCCGCAGAGAGTGAGAGGTTACGGCTTGTCAGTCACGAGAGGCAGGTCGAGGCTGGATTCAAGCATCCTGGTCGTGCAGGCTTGACCGTCGACAGGTTTGGTGATGTTGTGTCACGGGATTCCACCGTTCAAGCCAAAGGCAGCCAGAGCTCGAACGAGTTAGAGGAAGATGTTGCGCAAGTGGGTGAGTGAGAAGGCCAGAGTTGTTAGGGTCTGAGCATCGCGCATCGGCTCTATTGCCCATGCTGAGAAGTCTCGACAATGCACGAGACTGGTAGTCTTTGAAGGAGATTTATGAGGACAGGGAAGTGTTTGCAGTGAGTGGTGCATGTATTGACGAGGACAGCTGTGTTGGATGCAGGGGTCAGAGGTGCATGGCGAACACGTTCATTCCATCGTTTTCACACCAACTTTCCTATATAGTTTCTCTAGCTCTCAATCGAAACATCGTATCTCAGTCGGCCACGACATGCCTCAGGTTGGAAAGTCCGCTCAACCTCATCATACAGGAGCCGGTCATCGTACGGGGAAGGATGCCGAGGGCATGACAAAGAGATGGGATCCGACCAACTCGTATTCGGAATTGAACCCATGAAATCAGGCCTCCAAGATTTTGAACTTGGCGAGTTCATGCACCGAGAACTACCGAGTAATTATCCTGACATTCTGACTGGACTGGGACTGGAATCAGCCTCGTGCTAGATCCCCAAGCACGGAGTTTCTTTACCGACAAGTTCCTTGGCCTCGTCTACCTCAGTCTGCCAGTGCTCGCCAACGACCACCATGCCATGCCTCGTGACGAGAGCCTCACATGGCCAGCCTCGGACCCTTTTGGTTCCAGAAACCCTGTACAGACGACTCCAAGGTGAAGACATTACTCCTGAAGCCACCGAGTATCTCCCTCGAAGATGGTCTACGCAGGCCCATCCCGTGGCTGCAGCACCTGCAAACGACGCCGCGTCAAATGTGACCTGGGTCGGCCTCTTTGCAAAAACTGCTTGAAGAGGAGGGTGCCCTGTCCCGGTGTACCAGATCCACCTGGCATACAATTTCGAGACGAAACCGCGGCGGTGATACAGTTATTCCAGGCAGCCAACGACAGAGAACATGCTGCTAATGGCGATGACGACTATGAATACCCCAATGCCGTTGTCCCCAGTCTCGGGGAGGACGAGAACTTTGTCTCATTGTGCTTCTTCTCCCACAACTACATGATGGGTGGGCACGGCGTGCAGTCTTCGCGGGGGTTGTTCGAGCATTTGATACCGTATTATCAGCCGACGGATCTGGATTCTCTGATATCGGTCGCCACCGCTGCTCTTACGGCCACCATGCTCTCCATGTGGCGTGGCCTTGGGCCGGATTCGACGCTGTCAAGAAGGTACTATGGCCGGGCCATCGACCTCCTGAAGGAAGCCCTGAAGACTCCAGAAGGATGCGAGTCCGATACGACGTTGATCGCCATCATTGCGCTGCAGTTCCGAGAAGCGCTGATTGCGCATCGCAAGATGGTCAAAGTCGACGGGAGCCACCAAAGAGGCGCATATGCCGTGGTCAGTTACAGAAAGAGCAGAGGCTTCCGCGACATGGCCTCCAAGCGGCTGTTGCAAGAGGTGCGCAACACTATGGTGTCAGAGGCAATTCGGACTCGCCAACCAGTGCATATCGACCCGGCTGTGTGGGAAGACGACGGCCCCATGCCCTACAACCCGGCAAGTGATCTCGACAAGATCGCGATCGACCTCGCGAACCTCCAGGCTCTGTTTGAGCAATACAAAGCTACGTTGCAGGCCGCATTGGCGAAGGGGCAGAAAGTACTGACTGCAAAGGACCTCAGCATCATTGCGTCATTCAGGAGGACGGCGAATGCCATTGACCAGCGACTACAGATCTGGGCCGACAGCCAACACTCGTTCTACTCGCCCTTCCGGCTGGCAGCTGATGAGATCCCGGACTCCGTGCGAGAGGCAGGCCTGTACGGCGACTTCTGCAACGTCTATCCGTCCGTCCAGCTCGCGGGCGTCTGGCACGCTTACAACAGCTACCGGCTGATCCTCCTGAAGATGACGCTCTGCGCGGACGAAACGGTCCGTAACATGCCGAGGGAGAACGACGTGTTGCTGTCGGAATCAGACAGATGGAGGGCCTCCGCCGAGGAGCGGCTTCAGCACTGCGTCGACGAGATCTGCGCCGCCGTCCCGTTCCATCTCGGGAACCGCATCGACGCCGGTTCCATCCACGAGTTTTCGAACACCACCCGCATGGAGTATCCCTGGCCGACGCCGGACAAAGACCCTTACTCGGTTCCGTCTAGCCCAGCTCTGAGGGAATACGCGCGAGACCACAACATCGTGCCCCTGACGGCCGACGAGCGGAAGCGCCAGAACCTCTGCATGGGGGGCTACAACATCCTCGGACCCATGGCTTTTGTTCTGAGCCTCGCTGGGGAGCCTCTTGACTTGACCGGTGTGCAAAGAGATCCGCGCAAGATTGGATCGTTGCTTCGCCCGGATCAGATCCCGTGGCTTGCTGGGCAGATGGGTCGGGCTTTGAGACTTCATCGCGCGAGACCACCACCACCACCACCACCACAAAAGCAAGTAGGTCGGGGCGATGGTCGACGTGAAAGCAGCAGCAGCAGCAGCAGCAGGAGCAGCAAGAGTAGCACCCCTCTGTCGATTAGAAGGAAGCCTGCCGCTGTAGAGAAGGATCAGCTCGGCGATGTGGTGAAGGATGTCGTCCGGGTGCGAAAATCCATGAAGTATTCCTTTGGTGTTTGATCCGCAGTATGCAGCACTTATGGTAGTACTTAATAACATAAGGTATGGTATGTACACAGTACTACTACCTAGTATGTGGGCACTGTGCTCCCCGTCTACCGTTTACTGTGCTAGAGGAGGTTGCATCTCGTACGATGTCCTAAAGTAAGGAGAACTACTTAGTAGGACCGAACCACTAGGACTATATAAAATTGTCCCCTCGTCACTTTCCTTTGGAACCTATTGTTCTCGAGGACGTCTCCACCAGCCCAACTACATCGACCACCTGTCCAGCCCTCGTCTCCTCGTCGCCACATCCTTCACCACCACTACCACCCCCTACTCCTCTCGGCCTCCCACTATCAGTACTGGTAGCACTAGTAGTAGCTTGCCGCCTACAAACCGTCCGCACACCCCACAGGCAGCAGCTCGCGCAGATGTAGCTGACCCCGCAGAATATCTGGGTGTAGAGGTACGGACGCGGGTGGTCTGGGCGGCGGAGGTAGAGGGCGATGACTTCGGAGACTTTTTCGGACAGGAAGAGGAGAAAAGGAGGAGATAGTCAGCACGACTGCAGGCAGGTTTGTTCTGGGATCAATAGACAGACAGACTACTAAGTAGACAGACAGATAGAGTAGCCCCGGGTCGGGGAGAAGAAAAGAACCGGGTGAAGGGATAAGGATGAGAAGAGGGAACACATACATGTAGTTGGCAGGACGGTGGAAAGCCAGGAGAGCGAGAGCAGCGAGGGGAGCTGTTTTAGACCAGCGACTTCGACGCAGAGGGGACCGATTGTCTAGAGAGGTACTACTGGTAGTAGCAGCGAGACAATGAGGGGTACATTAGTTGGGAACGTACCATCCAGAAAACCCCCAGGATTGCACCGCTCAGGATCCCAAAAAACACCGTGACCCCGAACGACGTGGCAGGGATCCAGATCACCAGGCAGGCGAGGCCGCAGATGAGGGTGAGGCTCGTGGCGACCCCGAACCGGCCAAAACGGTCACTCGCGACACCAATGCAGGGTCGTCCCAATGCGGTTCCCATGTTGAGAAATGCAGTCACCTGCGTCGCCTGCTGGCGGGACAGGCCGATGGAGAGCGAAAAGTCCGAGAGCGAGTAAAGCAGGGCGATGTAGCCCAACATGCTGAGGAAGGCCCAGGAGAGGAGCAACAACACGTCGATGCGCGAGACCAGGTCCAGGTCGAACGGGTGCTGTTTGGGGCGAATGACGCTGTTGCGGTCGCGGATGAAGACCGCAGCGACCAGGTTGGCCAGCAGCGCGATGATGCCGGTGATTCTCAGCGCCCATCCGATTCCCAGGTGTTCAATCATGGCGCCGATCGCGAAAGAGAACATCAGACCTCCAATGCCAGACCCGGCCGCACTGATCCCGTTCGCAAGACTCCGCCGTCTGGCAAACCATTGGGAGAGGACTGCGATGCTGGGCACATAGACGAAGCCGACACCCAGGCCGACCAGAGCGCCTTGAGAGAGGTAGAGATGCCAGATCTGTGTTGCGAAAGACGCCGCAATAAAACCCCCTCCGAACATGACCCCGCCCGCCAGCATGGGGAGTTTGATGCCGAATGAGCGAGCGAGGCGTGTGATTAGGGGAGCTGCAAGCATGGCAATGCCAAAGTTGAAGCTGCCGATGAAGGCATAGTCGAGAGGGCGAGACTCGGGAAAGGCGTCGACGGTCAGATAATACGACAGAAAGACGCCATAAGACTGTTCGGTTCATGTTAGCCACTGTAGATTCGCCCAGACTACGACGATGGTTACTTGGTATTTAGGTGAGAGAGAGGATGACGACTTACCGCTACAGCGCCCCAGGTGAAACAATTGATTGAAAAACAGCAAGCCAGACAAACCCAGCCATAGCCGCCGTCAGGGGGAGGTGCCAGTTCAACAGTAGCATAGTCCGGAGTCGCGGCTGCCTCTCTTGTTTGAGGGGTGGTGTCAGTCTCAGACTCTGTTGGCTTGGACATTCAGAGGATTGCAGCGCTGGATTGTGGTCGGCCACATTTATTTCCACCAGCTGGAATTCCGTATGATCAGGAAAGCGGGATTACAAATATAGATTTGCACTGAACAAGTACGAGAGACTGGGGGATGAGTTTTCAAGAGGCTCAAATTCCCACTTCCACACGTCCGTGCTAATCACTATTGGGGAGTGAGCGTCCTTAAAAAGTAATACTTTATATACTCCCCATTTTGGACACCAATACGGACATCGTCGCTTCTTCCCCACGCTTTGAACATCCAAAATGGAATCAGCCTATCACATCTGCACGGTGACACACTCAAAGAAACACCAGTAACTAGCAAGATTTTGATAGCATTAGATTCCGAGGAGTAAGAGAATACGACGTACTATCTTGAGTGAATACTAGTATAGTACTAAGTAGAAAATTCCCCGCCCCTAGTTGTTTGATGGCTGCATACATACTAGTATGCAGCTCTAATGCGTCGATGTGTATCAGACGCAGTACCAAAGCCGTATCAGACAATTAGAGAGGTGGGCAAGACAGTACATAGTGCTCTTTCGATTGCCTCATCCGGACATGAGCCCATAAGCTTGAGGAGACTAAGACAACGTCTGTTTTATGACATTGCTATAAGCCACAATCATATGTGAACGATTAACCCCGATGCCACCATTCACTTGCTACTAGTAGATGAGCTATGAGCCAGTACTAGTACCGATAGCCATCCCGACCGCTCGATTTGATACTCTCACATCGAGTCGAGCCAGATTGCGCTAGATCAGTCCGAGTCACCTCTGTCTTGTTTCTAGACTAATTCGAAACCAATCCATACCGGAAACAAAGTAGATCCTATCTGGGCTAGAATCCGTGTAGCAATCAATGTTGGACACTTTGAATACCTGAGCATCAGATGTGTCACTGCCCGGCTTAAAGCTGTTACTTTTTCCTGTTCACAAAATCGAGATGTCAGGAGAAAGAGAAGAGCATGACACTAGTAGCATTGCTCAGCATCTCAAGAGAAGAACTTTACTTGACTGGTAACAAAGTATTACTACTGCAAGTACTAACAGAACGGGGGCAGATGAGACTTGTGAGCACTCGCAAAGCGCGTCACTAAATTCGACAAAAGCGGACTAGCTGCATTCATGTTCCCTGACCGCACCACAACTGTCCAGGCGACTTTCCTATTTAGGATGCGATTCCATTTCCCATTCCAGCTGGTACTTACTGAGTACTTATTGAAAACCTACATTGCACTTTGTCGTGTTGAGTGCGGGCTTCTTCTGATTCTGGACTACTTAGTATAGTAGATAAGTACCAAGTACTAAGTAGTACTAGTACTTACTATGTACCCCGTATGTAAAACTTTCTCATTCTTTTCGTATGTGGTATTCCCAAAGTGGTTCAGCACAGGCTGAGCGGGCATGATATCGGTCAATTCAGATCAAGCTGCCCTGGCCCGGGCCAGGCCGATCAACGGTTTAAGCACCAAAGTCCGCTGTGGCCAAGTCTCTGCCTAGTCGGAACCACTTTCCCTCCGTCCTCATCTGATTCAACAATTTATTTGGGATAAATTTGACAGATCAAAGGGGAAAATAAGAAACCTTGGATGGTTCCAAACAGGACTACTAACACTAGTAGTAGTACGTACTGGACCGTGGACTGACTGACTGCCGATCTACACTCATAGCATGAGAGCACCCTGATCGGCCACCTGGAAGAACAATAAAGGCGACATCATTGTCAAAAGGAGCCACCAAGTACCGGGCACAGCTACTACGGGGCTCGCTGCACTCTCTCCTGTTTCTGTCTCAACGGGTCCGTTACTGCTTGTGCTACCACCGGCGTCAGTGGTAGTAGTTGCTGTAGCAGTCGGCGTTGTAGAGATCGTTTGGCCTGGAGAGGCAGTACTCGAACCATCTTCGGTGGACGTTTTGACATCGCCTACTCTCGCACAAGGCGTGTTCAAATTCTTCCCTGGTGAAGACAGTGTTTCGTAGTAATAAGCCGAGGAGGCCGTCTTGTAGTACTCTAGACAGCCGTCCCAGTAGCCGTCGAAGACGGATGGAGCAAAGACTGAACTCGTATAACACAGACAACTGGCTTGAATTGAAAATGGCGGTGGTGAGGAGTTGATGTTGTCGCTGGAGCAGGAGGCTTCCATACTGTACCAAGACGAGCAGGAAATGAGATTGGAGTCGATGGCTGTGTTGGTGCGAACATCACCGACGGATGCACAGGGACTGCCTGTCTGGCCACTCCCAGCGAGTGATGTGTACAGTGGTGGAGAGGCTGTCGACAGATAGGCGAGACATGTTTCGATGGCTGCATCATAGATTGAAGGCTGATATACCGATCCCGAGTAACAGAGGCAGGAAGCGGCAACGCTGAAGCCTTGATCAAATAGGTTGCTGGTACTGGCAGAGCATGCTGCTGCAATGCTGTTCACCAGTTGGCAAGATGCCAGATCCCCATCTTGTCGGACGAGAAGAGAAGGAGGAAGCTTGGGAGCCTGAGTGATGGCAATGGCTGAACCGAGCATCAGCAACAGCGTAAAGGCTACTGACATGCTGAGCTGGGGGTGATGAAAGTCACGCTGATGGGCGACGATGCATGCTAGTAATACCAGTAACAACGATAGGCTGGTCAACGAGATGGCAACGTGCTACCACATTATCATCCAGATCTTCTCACCATGAGGGCGAAGGGCGAGATATCTACTACTACTAGTAACTAAGTTGTATGCAGCCACTGTACGCGGCGGGCAGGTGCAGTCTCTTCGTATCCAGCCCAACAAATAGACAAACAGGGGAACCGATTGAGACATACTGGTTTGTGCGACTATTTGAAAGTGGCTGGGCCGTTTTGCATCGAGAACGGTCGAGAACAGGGCCCTTTCATCAACCCCTCGGCCTCATAGGTCCCCATGTTGGCGAATACGAGACAGCAAACTTCCACCACGCACATGCTGGCAGCAAAACGGGCCAGTGACACTTCTCAACCTTGTATTTTCCACAACTAGTCCTACCCCTTGGTCTTTTTGTGCCGTGTCTTTGTTCGGTTCAGCCTGACAAGCTGGAAGACCTCTTAGACCACCATGTCACGTACAAAGTTTCCATCCTTCTAGTTGATGTTCGATCTTTACAACCATGCATGCTCTCTCACCTGCCTCTTTAGCAGAGCAGAGACGGGCATATGGCACTATCTGAGCGACCCAGGTCTCACGACTCAGGTCGGGATCCATCGTTGCAGGATAACGCGCAGGCTCATCTCCCTCCAATACTATCCACGGCGACAGACCAGACTCCGCCGTCTGCAAAGGCCGGCGAAGCCCAAGTTCCACACGTCGACAAAAAAGATGGCAACGGACATACAGTGATAGAAACAGCCTCGAGTTCAGGAAGTCACAATGCAAAAGCAACCCCATCGGACGCTGCTCCTAGCGTTGTCCCAACAGCGACCAAGAGGAAGGAAATTGCACTTGCATGGATTCCGGCATGTCTCACTGTCATAATGCTCATGCTGACAGCGTTGTACGCCCTTAGACCCGGTCTATGGAAGAGCGACTTCATCAACTCGTCTCCGAGCAATGCCATTTTCGTTCTCCGAGCCTTGTCTGAGGTGACGGGCTTCCTCCTTGCCATTACCGTGGCCTCTGCATTTGAACTGCTGCAATGGCTTTTGACCGTGCGCGAAGACGGCATCCCGCTGGCTGAGTTCTTGTGCCTTCAACCGGGAACTGGAATATTGGGACTGATACAAATCACTGCTGGGGCAAACTTCGGAGCTGGGACAAGGCTCTGGGGAGCCCTCAGGCTGCTTGCTGTGGCCTTGTTACCGATATTGGGAGTCTTGATCATGAGTGAATCATCCCCTCTTAATTTTTTGGAGTCGAATATCACTGACGCTCTACAGGCGAAGTGGGAACAGTCCTCAGATTCGACAAGGTGGGCCAGACAGTCGCGCCCCTGGGATTCGGGCTTGGGTCCTTGAACACGAGCGTCGCCGTCACGTTATCCCCCTTTACCGATATACTCCTCGGAGCCTCTTTCAGCCAGTTTCTGGACGATCCCACACACGCGGTAGACATCTCAGATGTTGATCGCAGAAGAGCCTGTTCCCCTTCGGTTACTGTGCGTGGTGAAAAAACGTGTGAGCGAGCTATCTACCTCGCAGCAGGACAGGAGGAGATAGCTGCACAGATAACAACAGATGCTCATCCCCGAGCCGACTCCTGGCTCGTCGAGGACCACCAAGGCTATGTTCTTCGCTTCACGGAGGGAGACCAAAAGTGGGTGTTTGAAACTGGCACAGAATGTCGGACGTATTACACCGAGGCCGTGGGATCTACACTGGGGGCTTTCAGGCTTTGTGCAAAAAACGTCGCCCCGAGTCAAATAGAGGCCAGTAAGTGAAGCTAGGTTCTGTTGTGCTTGCAATTTGATATGGTCACTGTCTGACATTTCTGTAGGAATATCAAGCTGCAGCTATGCAGACACCCTCACTGGGAGCTGTGGCAAGGAGTCGACATGGAATTCCACCCCGGCTTGGACCACGAGGCTTTCCTCAACTTTCCGCCAGGCCAAGATTGCATATTCGAGACTCAATGGCACTATCATCTCCCACGATTTCAGCACACTGCCAGAGACAGTGGCACCACTCCGGTCGGCGGATCTATTAGAAGCATGGGACAATTTCTTGGGCCTCGCGAGTTCCACAGATCTTACCACGTCCACCACTCTGGAAATACTGGGGCTGGGAGCCGGTAAATTCATGTTCCCAGCTATGATCGCCTCGATGCTGAACTCGATTACCGAACTCTCTCCACATAGCCCGGCCCTTCAGACCAGGGCGGTCAATGCGCTACAGGCACTGCTGGCAATACCCGTCTACTTTTGCCAGACAGGCTACATTGAACGGCAGGCGGTCTCGGAGCTACCGAGCAATATCCTATTGACCAACTACGACAACATCAATCTTCCCCCCGGACTCAAACGCAACAGCCCTGTTTACTTCACCGTCAGCAGAAATCAGATTGTCGTGGGACTGGCGTCTGTTATCGCCTACGTGATCCTGAGCGGGTTTGTATTGATATTGTGCTTTTTGGCACTGGGAGGGGGAGTTTTCACCAAGAGATTCAGCCATGTCCCCGACACCACTTCATTCCCACTGCTGGACTTTTGCCGCCATTGCGTTGTAACGACCAAGAATGGGGTGCCCACGACAAAGGGGACGCTCCAGAGCACCGAAAGATACGACGACATCCCCATAAGGGAGATGGATGTGAAAATGGCCAAAAAAGCTGCATATTCTTCGGCCTACGAGAAACCACCCGCATAGCACTCATGGTACCTCCCGAGTCTCGTGCTGATCAGGGTAACTGGGGAAGGGTGTCCTCCTCCTATCTTGTTGAGCCTTCCTGTGCCCACATTCGAGTAGGTTCGCGCCGTACGGAACCACAGTTGACGTTGTCCCGCAGAGGTGTGGTAGCGGTTCTATTCAGCAAAGTCTGCAGTTAATTGATATATGAGCCAGCGTCTTCAGCTTCAGACATCAAGTTTCAATTTGGTCTTGTTCCTGCAACTTCAACCCCTGCTATACCAGCACCACTAGGTAAGGATTCCGAGCTTGCTCGCTCTCTCCACGTGGAGGTACTTCAAGTTCGATACATCTTCCGACAACCGGTTATTGTAAAGTCCTGCCTCGGATCCGGGGCTGTGGACCTTTTACCCAAGTTCTGGTCGTGTCTGGCAAGGATCGTACCATGACACGCGCAGTGGATCATTGTGCGGCTCGCACAGCATTCAATGAGTCGGGTAAATGGAGGCATCGTCTTGGCCCTTTGATCAGATTCGTCCGAGTCGCTCCAAGAAACCCACAAGTGTCTATACTTTTGCTGCAGACCCGCAAGCATGCCACTCACGCGATAGCTCTTCCAACTCTGCTCGTTGAATGTTTCTCCTAACTCCTGCACTGCTACTCGTCGCCGGAGAAGGGGGGGCCCCGGATCTGAGTGAGGGGACAGCCTCTCGCCTAGCCCGGCCAAGGTTCAGCCAAACGCTCCAATCCGCGGGCGTTGATTTCCATCCACGGCCAATCACCAACATTAAGATTTGACAGACGGACGAGATGGAAACATGGAGTCAGTGTGTCTGGGGCATGTTGCCACTGGTGCATTATCCGAAGGGATATTGGAAGAGGGAGGCAGAAACAATACAAAAAGAAGTCACAAGGAGCCTCTCTCGGATGAGAACTACTATCCAGCACTTCTGGTTCCTGTTTCTTCTCCTCTACAGGACTTGACATGCCACCTGAAAATATGTCTTCAATTGCTCTCACCAGTCTCATTTCTTCTACCAAGCATGTTGTTGCTACCTACCCTGTTCTCTTGGTCGTGGGCCTGCTGGTTGTCTCGTTGCTCTACAACAGATTCAGACCAGGACTCAGAAGCATTCCCGGCCCTCCAGTCGCGGCCTACACCAAGCTGTGGAGGCTGTATGACGTCTACAAAGGACAAGCTCATATGACGGCCATCGACCTCCACAGGAAGTACGGCCCCGTGGTTCGCATCGGACCCAACCATGTGTCCATCTCCGACCCTTCGCTGATACCCGTCATCTACGGGATCAAGGAGAACTTCACAAAGTCCGCCTTTTATCCGATCCAGTGTGTCTCGTGGAAGAAAAAGCCCGAGATGAACCTCTTCTCGACCCGCGACCCAGAATACCATCGCATTGAGAAGCGCAAGATCGGAGCCGCGTATAGCATGCCGAACCTGTTGCAGTCAGAGGCAGCCATCGATTCCTGCGTCACTCTGTTCATGGATCGCCTCGATGAATTTGCGTCCAAGAGAGAACCGGTGGACCTCGGTGCCTGGCTCCAATACTTTGCCTTTGATGTCGTTGGAGAGGTCACGTTCGCGAGCAAGCTCGGGTTCCTCGAGCAGGGTACAGATGTCGATGTGAGTGTCGCCAGATCAACATCGGGACGACCGGCCTCTTTACTGACCGTCAAACGCAGGGTATGATGAAAGCGATTGAAGGCATGCTCACGTACGCAGCACTCTGTGGCCAGGTGCCTGAACTGCACCACGCCCTCCTGGGCAACCCGCTGTTCACCCTGCTCATGCCCGCCATGGAGACGTGGAACCAAGTGCTCGTCTTCACTCTCAAGGCGATCAACGGACGGGCCAGCATCAAACGAGACGGCGAGTTGATCAACGCCGACGTCGAGGGCCGTGACATGCTGAGTCGCTGGGCATATGTCAAGTCGTCGGACCCCCTGAAGATGAGCACGCGGGACATCGTGGTCCACCTCTCGACCAACGTCTTTGCCGGCAGCGACACGACCGCCATCGCCCTCCGCGCCATTGTGTATTTCCTCTGCCGCCACCCCGAGTGCATGGCCCGCCTGGTCGATGAGATCGACAGCGCGGATAAACAGGGCCGACTCAGCCACCCCATAACCTTCAAGGAAGCCACCACGGTGCTGCCCTACCTCGGCGCCGTCGTCAAGGAATCCATGCGTCTCCACCCCTCGGTCGGCCTGCTCATGGAGCGCCACGTCCCGGCCGAAGGCCTCACCGTCCACGGCCACCACATCCCCGCGGGCACGATCGTCGGCATCAACCCGTGGGTCACGAACCGGTCAGCCGTCTTCGGTCGCGACCCCGACGCCTTCAACCCGGACCGGTGGCTGACCGCGCCCGAGGCCCAGGTCAAGGAAATGGACAACATCTGGGAACTGAACTTTGGCGCCGGCAGCCGCAAGTGCATCGGCCGCAACATCTCGTGGATGGAGATCCACAAGGTCGTCCCCGAGCTGCTCAGGCAGTTTGACGTCGAGCTGACGTACCCCGAGAGGGAGTGGCAGACGTGTAATCACTGGTTCGTCCAGCAGGACGGGGTCATCTGTACCTTGAAGAAGAGGTGAGTGAAGCCAGAGGAGGAGGATGATTTAGATAGGGGTATCGAAATGAGAAGTGAGGAGTGAAGAGTGAGAGGTGCTAGCAGGGATCCTTGGGTTTCGTACTCGAAATGATATTCTACTCCTCTTGACACACCCTGATGCCCTGACGCCGTGGATTGGGTCGAGTTTGAGTTGAAACGAGGCCAACTACATCTATATATCAGGCAAAGAGTCTCCAATAAGCAAGCAAGCAAGGCCCCCTCCCTGCATGCACCATGATGTTCATATTGATACCATATCATTGAGACAACATGTCTTCTCCTACCTGTTATACTCTCTACCTATATGTACTGTCCTCTGTCCTCTGTCATTTCAACCCTATTAGCTCTGAGCGTCTGTCCACCTTCTTTTTTTTTTTTTTTAATAATCCTCAATACTTCTTTCTGCGCTATCCTCTTTGACCTTTGGTATTCAGAACCCGCCTCTCTTGCATTGAACCCTACAAAGTACATTAGTACATACTCCGTCCCTCCATTCCACCACACTTCACTTTGACCATGGTCCACACGATGCGACCGACAAAACGCCTAGCCCGGGCCAGTCGTGTCCAAGAATCTTCCTTGAGACTCCTTTTACTCGCCCAGAAACGCAAAGAAGACGATCAAATTGCCGTGCAGATCGACGAGGTCGAACTGGCGATATCCCCATGGTTTGTCCTCGCACGGTCCCAGGCGAGTCTGCTGCGGGTGGACCAATGCAGGTGTAGACGCCGACACAGGGATCCCCGTCCACGCAGCCGCGTCTGAAGAAGGCCGCAACAACCCCTGCGTCACGAGTCGTGCGTACAGTTCCTCCAGCGCAGTCACCGAGTCGATCATGATCATGCAGCTGCCCCTTGCTCGCTTCTTGTCCTGGATGATGTATATGTTGGCCGCGGCCGCGGGTCCCGTCCAGATGGACGCGAAGGTCGGGTCTGTCGTATCGGTTGGGTGGGGGGAGATGGTAAAGTCCGGAAAGTAGGTTTTGTAAAAGGTCAAAAGGGAGGGGAGGTGGGGGGAGGTGAAGAAGGGGATGACCTTGACGGCGTGCTGCGAGAGGGACATTTCTGGAAACTGAGACAAAGGAGAGAAGAAGATTCTATGCCGTGAAGGGGGGATCAGTCCCCCGAAAATTCGAGTGCTAGATTTTATGTGCGCAAGACAGTATTTTGTTGACGAGGGGTAACAGATGTCGGTTTATATCGTGGGCTACCTTCCACCGACGTTGAAGCTGCTCGCTTCTGCGCCGCCCTTGGTCGTGATACAGAAACTACCTGCCCAAGACGTCAGAGAGTTGCACTGGCCACGAAAAGGTTGATTCCCACGATAGCAGTTGGAAAGGATGCCAGCGTTTAAAGCAAAGGAAAACGACTTCTCTCCTTGAAAGCGAGCATTGGGGATGTTGAAGGAGTTTTGGCCCAAGTCATCGTGACCAATCATCGCCATTGAGATGAAGCATGGCACCTGGTCGCCTCGTGGGTGCCTGGTGGGTGCCTAGCCTCAGCTCGCCAAGCATCACCCCGCATTGCGATCTGTCGCCACGTGGGCGCATCTTCCGTCACAGCTAATGCATATCCGTCGATCACTTCAAAAGATCAATGTATGTTGCCGTACGCAAGACGCAACAAGATGTTCAAGACACCAATCTACCGAGAGAGTGCCCTATTTGCACTGGAGACCACCCGGCCAATTCCCTAGATTGACGGCCTCATGGAAGATCCCGGCATCGTGAGCGAGCATATTCGCAGGCATTCTGGCCCAGTGGGTTGAAATGACTGGCATCTATTGGAGAAGTTTTCTTGCAGAATGGGCCAACATACAACTTGTCATTCTTTTTGATCTTGAAAGCTTCATAGCTGCTTTCACTGAGTTTGACTGTCGGGAATGTGTTGCAAACAAAAAAGCTAAAGAATACCTGCCACCCAGCCACCTTTCCGTCTTTGTCTGGAATTTACAGTTTAATCGTGGCGCAAAACGAGCCATAACAAGAAAACCCAAAGCTTGCAGTACACACAAGAAGCTTTTCTGGGGTGCATTTAACCTCGCTAATCCCCCTGACTACAATGCTCGGGTACAAGGGATTTTGAAGCAATTCGAACGGTAGTGGCACAGTGGCCTTGTGCTGTCCTGTAATTGCGGATGTGTCAACCTTTGCAGGATGAATGAACGTTGATCTTTCATCTGTCTTCACGAATGAGAGGCTGTTTGCTGAGTGTGCACAGATTTAGCTGTATAGCGAATCATCATCTCATCCAAGCTACGTCCTTAAATTGCCACATTCGGGCATGGTTGAGCAGTGTTTTCGGTGGAGATGACCGTCTACCTAGCGGCGTATTGTGGGCAGTATTGGGAGGCAGAATGTCGCGAAGGGGTGTAATTCCACCGAATATTCAGATCCTCGGCTATTAACCAAGCCCCTATTCTACCTTGAGATATGAGAAAGTCCTGCTGAACGTGACCCCGAAAGTTGCAGATGCCGGCGATGAATCCAGCCTTACACGAGCTAGAAGGGTGACCCGTTCTTGATCATGTCTTCTTCCCAGCCAATGCAGTCACGAGCTGTGTCGGGGTAATCATCAAAATATTCGTCAAGCTCGTCGTCAACCCAGTAGTCTTGCTCTCCGCCATCAACCCACCGATCCTCCTCGTCGTCATAGACCATCCCATCACTAATCATGAACAACAAGTCATCATTCCAATTGTCCGAGTACTCTTCAATGAACTCCTGATTCCAAGAACTCCGCATTCTGTTCTCGCTCTGTGGGTCGTATTGGGGTCTTTGAGAGGCGTGGATGCGTACTTGGGTGGTTTCACGGATGAGACAGCGCCACATGGCTTTATCGGGCGGTTTCAGTCCGACGCTGTAGATATCCCACAGGGATGCCAACATCGTCGCCTTCCGTGCACTGTATCGCACCATTCCCGTCCCCAAAGAACGCTTGCCATCAGATTTTTCTCCCAAGTTGACCACGTTCATTGTATCCGATAAATCACGATGTTGTTTTTGCACGCAGCTGCTAAAGCTCGCGAGGTGGTCTTTTGAACCCTTTCGCAGGGCCAATTCCATGAGTTGGACGTCGACGATACCGTTGAGGGAGGTTTTGAAAAGACCGAATAGTGCATTGGAGCCGTTTCGGACGTCAAATACGACCTTCGGGGAAATAGGGGATTCTAGGATATTGTTGAGAGAGTTGCCCTCGCCGTCGGTCGTCAAAAAGGCTTCCCTCCCCAGGACGTCGACGTCGACCACGTAGACCTTGTTTCGGGGGCGGACGTAAATCGAGATGAGCGAGATAGATCTATGGCGGCCCAAGTTGACTCCTTCTATGTCCATATACAATGAAGGTGGCTTTCCAGGATGATTGACCCACTCTGCTAGTCTTGTGGCAAGCACCGAAGCGGTCGTGATGACCTCGACTTCTTTCTCAGAAGACATGATCTGATATTCGATGAGGGTTTGTAGAGGCACTCTGTAACTCTTCTACTCGCAGTAGAGATACAATACTATCAAACTCGGCTAGGCTGGCACTTCCAAACCCCACCATTTGAACATACCCCGCTAGGTTTCCCCACGTGACTCTATTGCTTGAAACTCTTGCCATTCTTAGTGGTTACTAAAAGTGGCGGACGGAGATGTGGTTAAATCGAATAAATCGAATATATCGTTGTCGCTATCAATGTCGGATCACCATTACAGCAGAGGTTTACATGGCGAGGAAGCCTCGAAGCCCACCGTCTTCTAGTTGAGGCCGATGGCAGCCAGCAAACCTCATTGGAATATTAGGCTTGCGGTCTCTGAAATCTTCTTCTGAGACGATTGACATGACCTTCTCCTCCTTTTGGTTTATGGCCCACACAAGGTGCCGGCAACAGACTGGTCTGGATGCCATCCACTCTCCTTCTCTCTTGATTCTCGTGTCGTACCGGATCCATGAACACTGCCGCCCGCACGCGATCCCGGAGCCTTTTTCAGCAATGGACTGGGAAACTGTTAGGGGGTTGAGTGTTGGATGCTTCAAACGAAAGTTGCCATGGAATGTGCGTTTGTCCCTCGCTACTGCGACATGTATCCGCCGAGGATATTTGATACAAGTCACTGCTGATTTAACTTCTCAGGCTTTGTAGGCGTGACGATCTTCATGCAGAGAACCTCGTCGTCGTCAGACTCGAATACTCTCTTCCAAACTGAACCCTCGCGGAAGAAGCTTTTCAAGTCGCTCTCGTCTCCATCGTAATTTATCAACCACCCTCCGTTGACTTGCTGGATTTCTTTGACTCCAGACGACCTGCACGTAGCGTCCTCCACAGTCGCAATATCTGTTTTGATGTGATCATGGTGCTGATAGAATCTGTGTTTATGGTTCGCTTCATGGGAGGTCGGCATGTTCTTGTCGTTTGTGTTGCCTCCAAGTTTTGATATCCGATGATGATAGCTTGAGAATAGCTTTTGTTATGTCGACTTTGTCTTTGGCTCCCAGAGGATGACCACTTCGGTTTAATACCCTCTTCTCTTGTTGAAGCGACATCACTCTCCGCGGCTTGCATTCAACACTCTGTTGGTAGACCCTCCAGAGGTGGGCAATGTCCTCTCATGGATGTAAATCTATAGAGTTACGGTAGGTTGATCCATGTCTGCCTGCCATGTGCCTGAAGTCCAATATATGAAGTTCCACGACTAATTAGCTACAACATCAGGTATGTGCAAATCGGGGGGAGGGGGGGGGGCTCGTCCTGGATTATTATTGACTTGCGCCCCATGGACGGATAGGTTTGGTGAGTGGTGAGCTGTGCTGTTTGAAACTCTCGGAATTGCTCCCGCCATGACGACTTCGGAACAGAGAAGCCCATGTCGTACAGGGACGGAGTAGGGCTTTGAGCTCCTACCGAGGCATCACACAACCAAGTCGCTGAAATCGAACTCTGACCAGCGTATCCGCTGCAGACGACGGAACATTATGCTGAAAGAAGACGTCTCTCGTGACATGAGCTCAAGCTGTGGATCGCTGAGATGCGAGGCGCCGACCACATCTGCTTGACCAAAATTCAAACCGCCTCTCCCAGCTTGACTGCCCGAGGTAGAGAGTCGAGTAGGCGTGACAGCTGATACCTTGATCATCATCTTGCTGAATCATCTGATGGACAGAAGACCCGATCAGCCGCTTTGCAATGGCCTCATCCTACCCTTCCATCACCCGAGCAGTATCCTACACACATTTCATTCCAAATGCCAACGATCTGCGGCTTGTAATGTCTTGCCCAACTCTTGCGTCGAACCGATAGTGCCATGCCAACATTTGTGTATCAAGTCTCCCAAAGGCAGGCTTTCAACATCAGGAAATTGGCCTTCGGCGGATCGTTGCTCGACGAGCTGTGCTCGATGCTCGTTCGCCACGAGGTCTTCATGAGGAGGCTGGCCAGTCATGACTTCGTAGATCATGCATCCAAATGCGAAAATGTCGGTCTGTATGCTTGTACTCGGTGTTGATCGTCGATAACTGAACCACCCGTAACAGGAACCGGCCCCAGCACCATCGATGCTACAACATTCAAAGTCAATTATCTTAAGCCGATCATGCACCAAGATGGCATTCTGACATCCGACATCGCAGTGTATTATCCCCTTTTCGTGTACGTGTTGTAATCCATTGCGAAATCCATCAGCAAGCGAATCTGTCCTCATAGTGGTATCTAGTCTGCACCCCGCTGTTGACATACGTTCCGGAGGACCTGTCCACGTTCAAGAACTATTGAACCGTCTGGAGTCACACTAGGTATTTCACAATATTCTAATGTGCTCCTAGACGGTCATATGCATGCTGCTCAACGATATTCTCGCCGTCGTAAGGGTCTGTATACGATTTGAGGACTGTTTTGTCGTCGATCGCGTACACAGTGCCTGATTTGCCGCCCCCAAGGTATTTGAGGTCGTCAAATGAGATCGCTACCGGCATTGGCGGTCTGGATTGAAGAATGGTGTTGTGTTCAGAGCCAAGGCACGTTACGGCTTGCCATAGAGAATCTGGAAAACCGTTGCGGACGCCCGAAAATAAGCTGAGTCCGTCAAGGTCGGAGTAAACAGAAGATACGCAGCGTTCACGACCCGCCAACCTGGAGAAAGAAGACTTTCTCCCGTCAGGAGCTACAATGCAGGGGTTCAGCCTTGGTATCAGGATGTGGTGTATGTTGCTACGACTACACTCACAATCCGTCAAGACTGGTTGCGATGGGTGGGTATGGACAATATGGATTGGCATCCAGGGAGTTCGAAACCATTGCATTACCAATTGATGCTTCTCGTGGAGACTTGCAGGGCGATCAGGGGCGATACAACTGTCCAGAGCAAGCGAGGTGCAACTCGGGAACAGGCACAGATGGTGCCGCCCTACGAGGCAGGCGTGGAAGGGCAAACTGCGCCGCATGTGAGAATAGGGCAGCGTCACCCATGACCTGGTGGCGGGATGAGTTCGGAGTAGTTGCAACTCATCTTGGCAACCCCCGGCCTGCGGTTCAGACTCCTAGACTCCGTGAAATGTGCCAGATCATCTGTTGACGCTGTCTTTCCTCCACCCGCCTGAATTGTGTCAGCTGTCAATACTTTTCCACTGCCACTAGAGCCCTGCTTGAAAAGACTCTGAACCTTACAAACTCATGGATCGAGCAGCCTCAGAGATGGCAAGGTAGCCACTCTATCTCAGCCACCCCGTTTCTATCGTTCGTTCACATTCCGCGTCCCACTCAACCCGAACAAGATGGCGATGAACAGGGTGAGGAACGCCTTTGCGCCTCCAAAGAAAGGGGAAACTTTTGAATTGCGAGCTGGTCTTGTGTATGTGTTCCAACACCAGTTCAAATGTTTGGGCTAACTGAATAATACCAGATCTCAATATGCCTACGAACGGTGAGCCTGACCTAAGGTGATGTAGCCTGTACAAGAGTCCTCATGTCTTGATTTAGGAAAGAGGCCATTCAAAAGACTATCATGGCCATGACATTGGGCAAAGACGTTTCCGCACTTTTTCCGGACGTCCTCAAAAACATTGCGACCTCTGACCTCGACCAGAAGAAACTAGTCTACTTGTACTTGATGTCAGTGCGCCGGAACTCGACCGACTTCTCCAGGTTGCTGATTACGACCACAGGAACTATGCGAAATCACACCCTGACCTCTGTATCCTCGCTGTCAACACCTTCGTACAAGATTCCGAAGATCCCAATCCCCTCATCCGCGCACTGGCAATCCGAACAATGGGATGCATAAGAGTTGACAAAATGATCGACTACATGGAAGAACCACTACGAAAGACACTCCGAGACGAATCACCCTATGTTCGAAAGACTGCCGCGATCTGCGTCGCAAAACTGTTCGATCTCAATCCTGCCATGTGCCTCGAAAATGGCTTCCTGGAAACACTGCAAGAGATGATTGGTGATCCGAACCCGATGGTGGTAGCCAACTCCGTGCAAGCACTTGCCGAAATCAATGAGTCGGCACCCGACACGAACGCCCTACACATCACACCCAACACATTGAAGAAACTCCTGATGGCTCTGAATGAGTGTACGGAATGGGGTCGTGTCACGATCCTGAGTACATTGGCAGAATACAAGGCGCAGGATGTCAAAGAAGCCGAGCACATATGCGAAAGAGTGGCGCCGCAGTTTCAGCATGTCAACTCGAGTGTGGTTGTCGCTGCCGTCAAGGCGGTTTTCCTGCATATGAGATACCTTCCATTGGAAACGCAGCAGTCTTATCTGAAGAAGATGGCACCTCCCTTGGTCACGCTAGTATCTTCGGCGCCGGAAGTGCAGTACGTGGCTCTCCGCAATATCGACCTCCTCCTGCAGAAGCAACCCGATATTCTCAGCAAAGAAATCCGAGTCTTTTTCTGCAAATACAACGATCCGCCTTATGTCAAGTTTCAAAAACTCGAAATAATGGTCCGTATAGCAAACGAGGCAAACGTGGATCAACTACTGGCCGAACTGAAGGAATATGCCTTGGAAGTAGACATGGATTTTGTGCGTCGAGCCGTCAAGGCCATTGGACAAGTTGCCATCAAGATCGAAAGTGCCAGTGAACGTTGTGTCAATGCCCTGCTGGACCTCATCAACACAAAAGTCAACTATGTGGTACAAGAAGTGATTGTTGTGATCAAGGATATTTTCCGGAAATACCCAGGTTATGAAGGAATCATCCCAACATTATGCAAATGTATCGATGAGCTGGATGAACCAAATGCGCGAGGGTCTTTGATCTGGATCGTCGGGGAGTATGCTGAAAAAATCAGCAATGCTGGCGACATCCTCGGCGGGTTTGTGGATGGATTTGCCGAAGAGTTTACACAGGTACGTTTACTGGATCCCCTCTCAACGCACTTTACTGACAATCAACCAGACCCAGCTTCAGATCCTCACCGCGGTGGTCAAGCTGTTCTTGAAGCGGCCACAAGCCGCCCAAGGTCTCGTCCAGAAGGTTCTCAATGCCGCAACTGCCGAAAGCGACAACCCCGACATTCGCGATCGAGCTTATGTATACTGGCGGCTCCTCTCCAACACAAGCGACCAAAACGCTCCCAAGAACATCATCCTCTCAGAAAAGCCACCCATAACCACCACAATCCAATCATTACCACCAGCACTCCTTGAAAGGTTGCTCGGCGAGCTCTCGACATTAGCTTCAGTCTATCACAAACCACCAGAGCAATTCGTGGGCCAAGGCCGCTTTGGAGCCGATGCGGTACAACAAGCTGCAATCGAAGAGCAAATGCAAAATGCCCGCGAAAATCCATTGGCAGCAGCCGCGGCAGCGGCAGCGGTCCAGGGTAAGGCTCCCGAAGCACAAAACAACATTGAAAACCTCCTCGACATCGATTTCGATGGTGCCGCACCTGCGTCGGCGTCGGAAAAGCCCTCGGACGGCCTCTCAGGCTTGGAAGGTCTTGCAGGGACACCGCAAAGGGTGGCTTCACCGACCGTCAGTCAGCCTGCTGCGGCCAATAACATGGATGACCTACTTGGCGTGTTTGGCAATGGATCGTCTTCAACTGTGCCGTCGGCATCGTCTGCATTTGGCGGAATGACTGATAGTGACATTCTGAACGGCTTCGCTTCGATGGATCTTTCTCAGTCGCAGCCCCCACCCCCTAAACAGCAACTTGACAACTCTGGCGGAAAGAAGACGAACGAGGACTTGTTGTCACTTTTCTAGCCTGAGAATGTCAATCACTTCAATCTCTATATGCATAGAAGAATATGCGTCCCTGCAGACATATTTAGAACCCGAGCCTCTGGCTCTCTTGCCCAAATTCCAGAGCGCGTCAGCATTTAAAAAATCAGCACTGAAGCGGTGTACACTACTGGGGGTCTGAGACTATCCAAGCTCCACTTCCTCTCCCCGCGGGGTGGTACAGGAGCTCAAGCCTTTTGGACATTTTCTGTTTATCGCTGTGAGCGTTTGTGCCTTTTCGCGGACGGGTCGTTTATACTCATGTTCAGGTCCTTCTGGCTACCAGCACAACCCAGCGACCTGCCAGCTTATGAGCAGACTTATCACCTGACTCCGGGTTTATGGCCGAGGCTCATCCTTTAATGAGCTATGGTACCATGTCTGGCCAGGTCGGGTCAACTGGAGACAAGATTAATTGCTGGCCTCATCATTGATTTGAACCCAGCACACAATACACATGCTCGCGTGCAAACGGAGAACGGCAACTGCACAAGGTCTGAAATAGTATGCATAGAAACGACATTTGAAAGTGCAGCGACGATTGCTGCACTAACCATTAGCGAATGAAGACGTGACTGTTATGGCTTGATTTTCTGTAGTTTTCGTCTTCCACTGAGTTTCTCGTGATTGTAAAAGTAGCCCGCAGCTTAACGGGTCTATTAGAACTAGCAGGACGAGCATCGTCAAGTCGTCCGGAGTCTTGCTTGTGGGACCTGCTGAGGTTGACGTTGACAAGGCTGAGCCTCAAGGCTGCAAAATGTGCCATATCGGACTAAGCTGTACAGGCACTAAGCTATTTTTGGCCGCGCACAAATAAATGACTCTGTCTGACGAGAAGATAGTAACGAATGGCCAGGAGTAGAAAATCTGTATTAGACCACGTCAGACCGTGTCAGACTGCCCCTTATTTCTGCAGTCGATTCAACGCGTCTGGGGCTCGCATCAAAAGGCAAATCATTTCCTTCACATCCCAGACTGCACATTGTACATGGCACATTGCCCGCTGTACTCAGGACCCCACATCTTATTATCTCACCACCCAAGTGACACCTTTTCGACACTGACGGCCAAGGTTTCACTTTGCGAACTCACTCGTTGATTGTTACCCTCAAAACTTTCATTCGCTTTGACACGCTACGCCGCTAAAGCCCAGCAGCCAAAGTTCACTGTCACTTGAAGTCGCGCCCGATAAATTGGCATCATATGCGGGATGACCAACTAAGCCTACTCAATCACCGAAGTCGCACCCTCCATTCCCTCTATCTACCAAATTTTGCATAGACCCCTCCAAGGGCGAGAGAGGCTTTGCCATGGTCGTCTGCAAATACTTCCTGCAGGGAAACTGCAAATTTGGCGGTACGTTTCCAACACTGCCTTGACAGTCCACATCCTGTCTCGGCCTGCTCCCACCGGACGTAACTGACGCGACCATCTCACAGCCAATTGCCGGAACGAACATCCCGGAGGAGGTGGTGGTTTTGCAAATCAGAACAGATTTGGCGCTCTCTCGGGTAACAGATTCGGAGGTGGTAACGGTAGCAATGGTAAGGCTCGTGTTTCCTCTGCATAGCTTCTTTCTCAGCAAGCCGCGTGGTCCAACTAACATCTCTAATATGTAGCTCGGAGAGATGCCTGGCAGTTCAACCCGGATGATATCCCAAACGACCTTGGAGCTGGCAAAGGTCGACCAAAGTGGATTCTGTCAGCATATGGGCCAGGCAGAAA